TAACAGTACTTAGGTTCCTGGAGAAAGCAAAGGTGGACAGTCACTTGGAATCTTCTTGCTAGAGGATCGTCCGTTCAAGCATGTTTCAGTTAAGTTGCTGGCTGAGAAACATATTGAAAGTACCTGCGACGGATGCCCCTCAGATGCTCCGGTGGTGAAGTTCCACACTTATGTACTGAAGGATTGCTGTATATACTTGTTGTGTATGATTGATGCATACATCTTGTGGTGTTGATACATATATACGTAACATGATATTACTGACCTGTTGACAGACATAGATTGACAAATTGGGCAGACATTGTGACCGTGCATACTCCAAACGGATTTCACGGTGCCAGATGGGCTGCCTTTCTGGGCGGTTTGTTGGCGTGCTGAGTCTGGGCGGCATTGGACATGAACGGTGCTTTCCCCTCCCAATAGGGGCCTTTAGGTGAACTGGACTCGGTAGTTTAAGGTAGAGGCAACCACACCAGCAGATACTACATACTGTACAGATGTAGGTGATTTGAATCTTGGTTTGTTTTGAATGGAATTTGGCTGTGGCTCAAAATATCATCACAACAAGAATCTGTGCGAGGTTTGAAATGTTGAGGCAGGCAAACATTTGGCATATTTTGGCATGTATTCGTATAAGGTTTGATTGCGAGAACCCACGAGTTCCTCTAGGGGACGCCTTGATGTTTTATGATGCGTTGAGGGGAGTCAAAATGGAGACCCGTTGGAAGCACTTGGGTTTGGGGAGATTGGCCGAGTGGCCCTGGTCAAGCCAAGTCCATCAGATAATATTCTGGACGGAAGTATTTGGAAGTATACTGGACCACGTTTCTTTCCCGAGCTTCTTAACAATGGTGACCCAAGGGTGAGGATGATTCGATGTTACCTAGAATGCTTAGCCACTAAGCAGGTAGATGGAACGTGAACAAACTCTGACTTCACATTTGAATTACTTTTGGATCGAACAATAATCGATGTACAGAAGTGGGCTGGCCAGATCCACCGTCTCTGATGGCCAAATATGTTGGAGTTCCGGAGGGCCTGGATTTGACGCAAAAAACATTGGAAACTGTTTACCAGGACCATGGAACAGCCCAGGTGCAGGTTAGTTCAACCAGGTGAACCCCACACTGGCTCCCTGGGGTTGGACATGTTTTGGAGAATGCACATCCACTTACATGACCCTGAGTCTCTGAGTTGGTCCAAATAAGTAATTTGGAGGTTGCTCTACCATGGAACTGGTATTGCTTCTGTGTGAAGCGTTTAAACATAAGGCAATCGGATTTTCTTTCAGTGTGTTCCGGTTCCTTCAAAGCGGTTTTTGTTGCGCGACATCAGGCACCATCGGCTATCTGATGTCGCGCCAGGCGAGGATGGAAGTAGGGATGGATCTTGGAATGTTCGAAGATGGCCTGGATTGCCAGGTAGAACAGATCACCGGGAACACCAGACTTGGCATTCGCCATGCTATTTGGTTTGTTTCGGACATGGTACGCAAGGCGACCAGAACAGATCACTAGGTACACCGGTTTCACCTCGAAAACGAAACCAGTTTACGCCGAACACGTCCAGGTAGGCCTGGTGGTGTGGACATCCGGTTCTTCCGGCCGGTGAATTGGTGAGTTTGGACGACGAACGTGTTGGCTTCTGCTGGGTACTGGGTGTCTGTCATTTGCCATTGTTTGAACATGTCAGCTTTTCGCTCTTTTTTGGTGCATCACTGAGTGGGAGTCCAAAAATGGTTGAACTTCAGAGTGCAGGGACGGAAGTGAACTGAAGGGAGCCATGGGGTCCTAGCGATGGGGTCTAGCAATGGAGTGTTCCGAACACTTGAGAGGTTTTTCCTTGAGCTGATGAAAAGGACGTTCACTTTCAAATGCCCTTCCAGTGGTCCTTATTAGATGAGCTTTTGCGCTATTTCTGCCATAACTTCACTTGGGTTTGTCCCATTACCAACCGTTTGTACTGAGAGGGTCTTTTCACTATTTTACAGAAAGGCCTGCAACCTAACCGTCATCATACACTGTTACTAGTAATAGCTAGGATATTATGTACCCAAGCCACAACATTTGTTTCAACGTCTTGATAGAACCAAGCTGCGCTGCAGCACATTAATACAGCTCCACGAAGAAAGACACTTCGACCAAAGACGGAATGCTTGGCTTGTTGGGTGCCTATCTTTGAGGATGCACAAAATCCCATGGCCCTTCATGATGTTCATGTCTTTTCATTGTCACACCGTTGTCCTTTGAAACCGAGCGTCTCCTCCGCGCACTTTTACCGCTGCGAACGAACCCGCAAAAAGGGACCGTATACAAGATCCAGCCGGCTAGCCACGGTCTTCTCAAAAGAACCCTGGCAATTTGGGAGACTAGGGAGACTAGGGAGACCCCCTCGCCCAAATTGTCAGACATGGCAAGGTTTCCTTTCTCGGAGATCTTCCTTTTAAATGCATCCCAAACCAGTACACGTACAAGTATTACTAAATGCATGTTTGCTTACGTGAAAAGAACCCTGCCAAATGAACAGGACCATGGCATACGTCTCTACTTCGCTCGCTCGCTCGCCCGGAACTTTGGTCAGAACTTTGGCTCGGTGATTGTGGGGCGCATCCTCATGCCCGGCGACCCAGGGGAGGACTTGAGGCGACATGGTTTTGGGATGGGTTTTGTGTGCAACAATTAGACGTCCCATGCTGCGCAGAGTTTGTGGACACCTGCAGAGGACAGAATATCTCCGATCTACGTCTTCTTCACGGCTTCGCCATGAGACCGGCTGTCGTGCGGATCGGATCCAGGTGCTGTTGACCTGTCAGTTCAAAGCATCGTTCGGATGCTCCGCCCTTCCTTCAATCCGACCTGGAGTTTCGACGGACGGTCGTCACATGGGTCGACGGACGACCCGCCCGCGTCTCTCCCAGGCTGGCTCTCTTCGTGTTCTTGATCTACGAGTACTCCCGAGCAGCTCGCCTTTGGATCGGGAGTCCGTCGGTGTGTCTGTCGCTCGCAGTGGCATTGGTGGACTTCTTCAGAGTGTGTTTTTCTTGGGACTCGGAGGACCTGAAGAGGCGGATGAAAAAGCCTCGAAAGCAACAAAAAGCCAAAAGACACTGAAGTGGATGTGTCCCCTGTTTGTAGTGAAGTTCATGGTTCCAGGTTGAATCTGTCTGCCTGTAACAGTTGGTAAACTAATTTAGTATCTGATTTGGGAGAAAGGCTTTTACTAACCATCATGGTCCACTGTTACTTGTAATAGGATACACCCAAGTTCCAATACTTATGCCATCCACTTCCATGAATGATTGTTGGCTGTTGGTACTTTTGGAGTTCACCCTCCTCGCAGCAGCCCATCATCAGCGCCAGGTCAAAGACACGTCGCGACACGTAGCTTGTGTGGTCCAGAGACCGCGTATGGAAAGTGAAATCGATCCTCAAAGTTCACGAGGACACGGGGCAACTCATGTGGTAGCTGTTGGCTCTCTTCAGAAAGTAAAACCAACTGTGGTCCTTTCTTGGGCCGTTTCTGTGTGGACATGACGTTCGGACAATTGCATGTCAACTGATGTTGCAGGAAACCTCTATAGCTGGCCATGGTTCCAACCTATGAGTCCCTGAAACCGCGTGATGGCCACGATGTCGACTGCGCGTGATGGCCACGTGCAGAGCAGTGAAACGCGCGCGCGCGCGTTTCAGACCGGCCCAGGTGGATCCGGACTTTACGATGGCCTTGGGGGTGCTGTTCTTCTGCCTCCTCCTGGGCATTCTGGTGTCCTGGGTGCGCGTCCTTCCATAACTGCGACAGAGAAGACGGATCGAGGTATGGGGGGGCCGAGCAGAGGCCACGTGTTGCCCCCCCCCTCTCATCGTGCGTTTTTGGGACAACATCATGCTTTGAGCTCCAGCAGTTCCTCCAAAAGGGTGATCTTGGGGGAATGCACAGCCGTGGAAAAGCTGGCCAAGGACATGTTTGGTCTAACAAGAGAACATCGCATCACTAGATGCTGTCAACACCCGAGAATAGGGATGTGGCTCAAAACAAAGGATACCTTGCTTGACCTACCGGCGTTTTTCTGGAACGTCCACCCGCTTTTTGCAGCTCTGCTTTGGTTACTGCGGAGTTTGGTCACCACTGCGCACTGGCACGAAATCGCGACCTGTGATGCGGACCAGCCCAAACTTGGATGATATAGGGTGGCTTACATCACCAGGAATCACCAGATGACCCACCCGGTGTCGGTCTAACTCGCTCCATGGTGGACTGGTCGGGGCTCCAGGTTTTGACCGATCCCTTTTTGAGCAGCGCACAACGCAGCTGCGCTGCCGCTTGGAAGTGCGACACGAGTTTCAAGAAGCATGTATAGTGATAGTGGACTTTCAGGTTCTTACAAGCCCGGTTGACTCACCTGGAACGACCTCGGTTGACCATGTCTAGTCTCTTTTGTTCATTCTGTGGTCAACCAGCGTTTTCTGGTTTGGATCCACGGCCAAAGGGTTCACTTAGAGAATCAATCATGAATCTCACCAGGTCTCTCTTGAGAGTGTTGAGGGGTTCAACGTATACTCACATGTCGGATGGTCGGTTTGATCGACCCATCGACATCCTGAGACATGAAGACCTCCCACCCACCTCGCATTCTTGGTTCGTCGCCCCGCTTCGACGCACGGTCTACGCTCTGAAGAGTGCACTGGACCCTGAGGAAATCATGAAGAGTCCTAGCCATGGGACGAAGTCATGCGAAAACCATCCCGACGTCGAGCACGCATACTTGGCAGTCCTTTAGGACGAAGATGGACGAAGTCAGTCAAAGCAGTTCCGGCAACTGGGTCATATTTGGTCATGCCGAGCTTCTAGACACAAAACATGACCGGCTGCCTGTCGGACAAATCAACAGACAGCACCAAACAGAATGGAATCAAACCAGCAGACTCATGCAGACTCCAGATCTCTTTCGTGTTTCAAGTATCTCAGAGATCGAAGTGAACCGATTCCTCAACTGCTCAGCTCATCCAGTGACCAACGGTGGGAACGGCTTCATCCGGCGCCGCCCGGCGCCGCCATCGCCGTCATGTCCTTCGCCCAGCTAAGCTGTCACTGAATCCCAGGTGGAGCACCCGTCGAGCGGATCGGTCGCCAGGGGTGGAAGAAGCTACGCAGATTCTTATGCAGGTTCTCTTGGCTTTGGAAGATGTGCCTATTCTGATGTACACTTAAGTACCAGCGAACAGGGGTTTTTCTTGATCAGCCCAAAAGGGAATGGGCATAATGGGCGTAGAACATTTCTGGAATTGTTGGTAGAATCTTGCAGGGAATCCATTATATATAGTTGTTATTATATTAGTTGTTTCTGACTGCCATTGACGGAGTTTTTTCCGCAGATGACTGGGTCGGGAGAACCCAGCAAGTCACACACAGAGGTCCAGGTCCTTAGGACCCCAACTTCCAACCCAGGTCAGAAAGGACCAAGAGAAGCTGACAAGTGTTCTGAAGGAATCCCTCTTTAGAGATGAACATGTTGGGCCACATGTGCCCTGGCATCTGGTCTTTTGATGTTTTTTGCAAGAAGGGTCGACCTGATGTATCCTCTCGCAGACCTGCAGTATACAGTATAGACATCTAGAATCATCTAGACGTCTGAGCGCAGGCCCCATCCAGACCTCTCTTTTCCTTTCAGACCTTCCCAGAAACTGAAACCCACACGAACCACTCTCCACCCCAATCCACAACCATCAAGCTCCACTCCTTTGCGCCGCCTTCTTCGCGGCTGGCCGTCACCGCAGCCCTGGGCGGAGCGCGCGGAGCGTGTGGCCGTTGAAAACATCGGCGGTCGTGCGCCAGGTGCCATGACGCAAACTTGGATGAATCAACGCTTCCAATGCTTGGCCCCCACAGACTTCGAAGAGGGAGCCGGGATGCCCGGACGGACGGCTGGCTGGCGCAACCAGCCCGGGGGGGGGGGCGGGGGGTCCGAGGGTGAGGGCTGGTGGATTGTCAGAAGTGATGGACGGGAGGGATTGCCCCTGAATATGTTTCGCGGTGGCTGAAACCAATGCTTAAGCTAGTTACCAGTAATGCACTTGTTTCTATATAGTAGCGATGCGCTTGTTACTGACCAGCTTTTTTGATTTTTTTTGAGTTGTGATCTCATCAGGCTCCCAAGAACTCTATACCAGAAAATGAACTCTACCAGAGCCTGCTGCAAGCTGGAAGATGTGTGTGCATTTCAATAGGGGCACCCCTGGCAGAACATGGTAGAAAGCTTTATTTTCCTTCCAGGAGGGGGTTGAACTGGCTACTTCATTGGAGCGATTGGAGCCATAGCTGCCTGGGCTTCGAAGCATATCATCCAACACGCATATCATGTCTGTCAGAGCAAGCGCAGCTTCTGCTGTGGTTCATGGCACCCGGGGTGGTGCTCGGTGCAGACGAGGTGCACTTCGTGAGCATCGGCAACGTGTCGCCGCTGTCGGAGGTGCAGAATATTTGGAGCGCCTTGGGCAAGGCGGCGAGCTGGGGAGATGCACGGATTCGGATTCTGTGGCAGTTGCGGAAGCAAACAAAGGACACAAAGGACATGATTCGAATTAATTTAGATATTATTCCTATACTGTGTCCTTTGTGTTTGCAGTAAGAAGTCCTTTGTGTCCTTTTTTCTTAAGTTTGCAGTAGGTGGAGGATCATTTTCCTACTCACCCGTGCGGAGGGGTTGGCTACTTGTTCGGGATATGTTTCTTCTTCGGGATGGGTTTCTCAAGGAACTCTGCGAAATCCAAGGATTTACGGAAGAGCAATGCGTCGATGCGGTCGATGGTCTTGAATCCTTGGTTTTTGTTGGATCATGTTGGATCATATGTATACATTTTGCACGGAAGGTTGGTGTTTTTGTCTATTCTTGTTTCCAGAAGGCTCAGAAGGTCGTCTCTTATCCTTGGAAGATACTCTTCTTGGGTTATTCTCGGTACTTTTGGGTCTTGTGAACCTGCATCTGGGGATCGAGTCTTTGTCTTTCCTGATCTGGTGATCGGCGCGAGTGAAGAAACCAATATGGTTTTGGGTTTGTCCTATATACCTGTAACAGTCGGTAAACAGTTACAGATTCATCGCTCCTTTTGAACAAGGCCTTTATCAACCATCATCCACTCATAGGAAAACCCAACGTATGCTAGCGACATCCGACCTGTAGAAAGTCGTGACGGTGTCAAGAAGTAGTAGTGTTATCAAGAAGATGAACATGACGAGACTGTCTCAAGATGTTTCAACAACACTGCTTGATCTGGGATTTGGAATTGTCCGTGGCGCCACAGTGGGATCCTCATTTGAGACAACTGGGTCGACCTGTAAACTGGGCAACACCCATAGATTGAGATGGTTGAAAGTTGAAAGGGCGTCCCTGGAACAACCATTTTATCTTTTTGTTTCTTCGATTCTTCTCGTAGCCTTGGAAATGGATGGCAGAAGCGACTCTGGACGATCCAAATCATCTCGTCGTGTACCAATTAAGGTCTCCAACCTTCCAGGAGTCTTTTCTTTTTACATCGATGGATCGATGGTTGGTTCTTTTGAACTTGCACATGGTCAGACCAGTTCATCATCGATTCATCGCCATCGATCCATCGTTTCTCATGTTTTTTTTTTTGTTTTCCGTTGGTCGCCTGCCGTCCTTCAATCCCGCAGGGGCAGGATGCTAGTACACTGGTGCCAAGCCTAAAGGTCTGGAGCTGAGACGAGTCAACGAGTTGAGACAAGCTGAGAGTAGTCGGGTTGGCCTCTCCTCCCTGGTTGAAGAAACCTAGACCAGGTCGAACCAGCCAACCGGTGCATCGTTTTTTCTTTTTCTGTTTCCTGTGGCGATTTTTTGGACCGCGACAAGGGTCAGGAGGCAGGTCGCGGACAAAGCACCTTTTTGGGGGGGAAGCCCTGTCAGAATGGTCGTTTCATGTCGGTTCTTCTCTTCAATCTAAAAGAACAGATCACCTGCCAGGTATAGTCAAACAGTCAGACCCCGAAATTGGGGGAATCAAATATGTTCGCAGTGCGGGAACCTGAGGTCATGATCAGTGTATCAGGTATAGTTGTAGTTGACCCCCGCCCAACACTGGCCATCTCAACCGAGAAAATAACCCAGTAATTAGACATAATTAGACGCTTGAATTCCTACATTTTTCGGTGGTCCTTGTGAACAGACGCCAACAATTTCTTTCTGAAGCCCATATGACATGGGTATCAACACCATGTGTGAAAAAGACCTCAAAAAGACCTCGGATCCACCGAATGAACAGGCTACCAAAAGAGCACCTGCTTTAAGTCTCTTATGAAAGCAAATGATTCGCAAACGATTTGTGGGATAATTGAGTTGCACGCCGAGAAGGAAGTGAATGAAGATACGGTTTTTTTTTCCTTTCTTTTTTTCGCATTTGTCCATTGCCCATTGCCCAGCTGAAGGGAGCAGGACCAAGACCACTGGAGCTAGAGGAAAACAGTCGGACGCAGGGTCCTGAGCCATTCGACCCTTCTGCGAGAACCGCGCCGGCTGGAGGTTGAGCAGGTAAGCTGACATCCGTCACCACCACGCAAGGAGCATGCGGTTTTAGCAGATGAAGATCCATGATGAGGATCCATGAAGATCCTGCTGTTCTTTGTGCGATTGGTTTTCGATGCCAGCGGCGCTGAAGGGGGGAGGCCCAAGCTATATCCATGAAGATCCTGCTTCGCCAAGCGTTGCGAGAATGGGCATTCCCTGTCAATTTAGGGGATGCTTTAAAGCTGGGAAATTGAACCGGCTCAAAGACAGGGTGCCAATTTGAGTAACTTGGCGGATCAATTCTCGGCCGTCCATCATTGTTTTTGGTATAGCCAGGGGACAGAGCAGCCCAGATTCCTCACCTTGCGACTCATGTCGAGCGGATTGCGTCCTCTTTCAGTCATTTGTTGCGAAGAGAAAGCGCTCACATCGTTTTCATAGAGAAATCCTCGCATCATTGGCATCTGATTCTGGCCATGGACCAGATGGCTTGCGGTCGAAGGTGACAGATCATGGCAGATCAGCGGCGGTATCTGGCAGTACTTGCAGTTGTGCAAGCTTGACGCCCTACCACGAAGCACGAGATTGTGTCACCCTTTTCTTTTGCGCATTGGGCCAACAAAGGCGATTGGCTTCTCCGGCGCTTTCCGGCTTTCCTCCACCTATCAGGAGGTATGCCTCTTAGCATTTTGGATCAATTGGTCTTGGCAGCCACTTACCAGATCCACCAATGATCATTGGTTTCGCTTTTGCACTCCGGTTGTGTGTTCTGTAATCAAAGGCACAAGGAGCTCATACCCTTCAGTTGCTGCAAAATTCGACATGCAATGCTGCATAATCCCATGACCATATGAGTAACAACGTTTCATCCCTCAAACAATCACGGTAGCTGCTCCAGTTTGTAGGTTGTGAAAGCTGTTTGGCACCGGTTTGAACCATGTTCTTTCTTTGTTTGATCAGAATCATCGTCAAAATTTTGGCCGCCTCGCCCCCCCGACGCAGAGGCCAAAAGGGTGCTGTTCATTTTTGCGAGTCCCATCGATCAGGGCCAGGCCATTTCTGGGAGCGGGAGCTTTTCGGCGGGAAGGCTTTGGTTGGTTGCACTTCGTTGTGGTATTTGGGAAGTGTTTGGAGGCAGAGGCAGTCGTGGCTGTTTTTTGGTAGTGGTAGTGGTGGTAGTGGTGGTGGTGGTGGTGGTGGTAACCTTGCACATACTGGGTTTGTGACCAAGAAATGGTGGAGGTGCAGACTGGTGGTGGTGGAGGCGCCATGAGCCATGAAGTGGGCACGTATATTGTCTTTCCTGCGGTCGATTGAAGAACTCCAACAAGCCCTCCCCCCCCCGGAATAAACCACGTAGGATAGATTCTTGATGATTCTTGATTTGACGTCAGGTTGCGTTTCTTCCCTCAACTCCAACTCACATGTATTGCGTGTTTAAGTACATCACATTCAATCACTTCTTGATGGCCCAAAGCCCAAAGGCATGGAAAGGATCGGGTAGACACGTCATTCCGACCCCCAAACAAGACCTCAACAAATCCCCTATAATCCCCTATAATTAATCCCAAACCCCGAAGCCATGACCAAACGAAACCGCCCGGTAAACGACCATCACACCCCTGGACACCCCTTAAGTCACCGACCTCTTTTGTTTCCCCTTCAACGAAAAACAGCGAACTAGCGCTGAACACGCCGCTGAACTCGTCCAGGTGGCGAAGCTCCGAGAGCTCATTCAATGTTTGGACGCCACGGATGCACCGCCCATGCGCGGGTCCCCCAAGATGCCCGGTCCGGGGTCGCGGACCCGGTGGAGGCGGCGGGCGGCCGGGTTCAGGAGCACAGAATTTAGACATGACTGCGATTGAGATGGACCAAATCCGCCCAAACTTGTGCAAAATTTGTCCTGCCCCCTCGTTCTCCCTCTTAAGTGGGATCACGACAGTGAGGAAAAGGATAGAAAAAGAACCACCGGTTTTTCAGGTCCCAACTCCCAATCGCCGCCTCCTCTGAGGCCAAACGCGCCAACCAGAAAATGAGGGGGGGCAATGGGGCGGGTTGCTATAAGACCCTGATCGACCCTGATGGAGTGCACTGGTGACGTGCTGATGGTGTGCAGGATTAGGTCCATCACCCATCCAAGAAAACGAGACAGGTGCTTTCGTTATGGGCTTTTCAGAGTTCGAAAACTCGATCCTTGACGTTGAGACTCTCACTGCATGTTGTGGCTCTGGGGAGGTCTTAAAGCATCCCAGTGCCTTTGGTCACGAGGTCCAACGCCGTTCCACCGGCCCACCAGTCAAATTGGATGATTCGATACGTTTGACGGACGACTCCGACTCATTGAAGAGTGGCTCTCTACTTCAGGTGTAAGAAAGATCAGAAGTGAAGCAGAAACCTTGTGGAGCCCAAATCCATCTCCCTGCAAGCTGCTTGTCCACCTTTAAAGCCAAGCAGGGTCCTGGCCACACATCCCCTTGCAGCGTCGCCAGCGGTGCTCCCTCCAGGGTTTGGGCACCTCATACCGTTCCGCCCGAGGTGGGGGAACCGACGGACATCGTCCCGTCGCGCGGCGGGGGGGAACGACGCGTTGCGTGTCTTGATTCGATAGAGGTTCGGGGAGGGACGGAGACTCTATCCGCTGTGGTCACAGAGCAAAGAGGTCCTAGACCTAGACTCGTGATGTAAAGACAGCAAACTATAGCAACATCAAGATGTTGTTCAATCCAAATGGGCGGTAGAGAGATCTAGAGAGCTTTCAAGAACATTTAGGGTCTGCCCGGACCCTCCAAGCAGCCCTTGGTCCCTCAAAACCGGAGACTCCAGACCCCCAGAAGGATTCAGGTCCGACCCCTCCAGAGGATTCGGGTCCAGACTTCGCGTCTGGGTCGAAGGATCTCTACAAGGCTCCCACGGCTCAGCTAGGAACGCAGGACATCGGGTCTCACCATTGGACCATCCTTCCATGTCATTTCCGAATTTGCCTGATGTGGATGAAGGGAAGGTCTGGACTCGGTAGAAGCCAAACAGTTTGACCACATGTTTTTAGTCGTTTCAACAGTCCACGTGCAGAACCAACCCCTCCATGCTTGTGGTGTTTTCGGACCAAAAAACGGCTGGGCAGATACGACCACACCAAGCCATCGTGGACCCGCAAGTCAACGATGGACCCAGCAGCGTGAGTCGCTGGGATCTTGAACCGGGTGCGGGTCGCCACGGTGCGGCCAAAGGGAGGAAGGAGTTGGGTGCCCCTGTCACAGCCACTGATTCAACTGTTTGGGGACCCCAGCTAGGTGATGGTTTCGGATATTCTTATTTTCTCAACCCTTACTTGGGGATGATTGGACCATCTGACTCCTATTTTTCTGACGTGGGCTGAAAACACCAACCAGCTGTAGATTCAGGATGATTCAGGTGGCTTCAACAGGGCACACTGGCCACCAGGAAACTACCGAACGAACGGAGGCTCCAGGGTTTGTGACTCCTGCGCTACGTGCTTTCGGCGAGCCCGACCGAGTCGCTCCGGCGGCGGCGGGGCCGCGATCGGGTCGGGACGTTCAGCATCGTTCCATTTGGTTCAGAGACCGTCGCAGCGAAGTTCAGAGACCGTCCGGCGTTTTCTTTTTTCTTTTTTTGCATGAGGTTGAGCAGATGTTGTTCGGACTGAAGCATTAAGCATGTCAAGCATAGGAGTGGCCCGAGTGGCTTCCGAGTTCAGATGCTCTACAGATGCCAAAGAGTCCAAGGTTGGGCGATGAACCTGACTGTTGATGCAGTATAAACCTTCGCACCGGCTGGAAGATGTAAAATCATGCTGGAGGCGGAATAATTCATCCACTGAGTTTGTGTAACATATGATCATATGATGGTGATGCACCTAGATGTTCCTGAAGGATAGTAAGTACCCTAGAAAATGAGACATGAAAATGGGACATGACCCCATTCGAACAGGTATAACTCATACTTATTTCTATTACCCGTATACTTTGAGGGTCCATCTAGTAGTGGTCCATCTATTGGGTCTGCTGCCGTTCTCACCGGCGTCACCCGCTCCATTGAGTTGGATCCATACGGAAGAAGAATCCGGAATTGGTAGATGGGTTGTTGCTCTGGGAACCCAGAACCCAGATACGAACCCAGAACCCTGGATTTCGTGGTGCCGAAGCAGAAAAAGAAGGTCCGCAGAGTCCGTTGGAAGTCCTTCCAGGTCCTTATCAGGCCATCCGGACGTTTCACGTTTGACGGTTTGGTGTGAACCTCCGGCAGATCAGGGCTGAGCGCAGCGTTTCCAGCGGCTGATCGGTGGTGAACTCTTCCATTCTCAGTGGCGTCCAGCTGGGAGTCCAGCACGTCCCGCACGTCGTGGGTCTATGGGTTCGGATCGTCAGTTTTGCAGAGATGGTCCACCAGTCCACCAGTTTCTATCCATTCCTGCAGAGGACCACGGGGTGGTCGCTTCAAAGCCACTGGGTGGTAGGTCAGAATAGTCTAACAAGATCTGACAAGGGTCAATTTTGAAAATCCATAGGGGGGTCATTACTTTGTGAGGGAATGGGAGGGGACATACACCCTCCAGCCCTTAGTGAAGCGTTGGAGGAACTGCTCTCGTCTCGTGTGGTTTTGCAACTCGAGCCGGAGCAGCTCAGGTAGCTTGATGGTGCTGGACTTAGTGGAGTGGAGGCAAATCGAACGGGACTGGTGACCAAGATCAAAACAAATTGATTCAATTTGATTGGTTTGTAGGGGGTGGCTACTTGTTGGTAGTGTGCTTGCTTGTTTGCTAGCTTGCGTCATAAACATTGGAAATCATTGATGGCACATCAAACTCGCTGAGCCTGGGCTCCCTCCTTCTAAGAAGGCTGGAAAACACGTTTGACGTTCTGTGTGCTCTTATATGTGTGCCCACTCAAACATGTTCCCTCACATGTGTGCTCCCATGTGTTTACATACAAATGTGTGCTCTCACGTGTTTGCCTTTTTGTGCACGTCATATATGTGTGCTCTCATGTTTTGTTTTTGTGATTCGTGACGTAGGACTCATGGGTTGAGCGCACATTTCACTATACATCCTCATGACATGGGAGTTGTGTTTGGACAAATCCGATGTCATGCCAGTTTAATTGGGAATCTTGGAACTCTTGAGAAACACAGACTACTACCAAGAGTTCCTTCCTCCGAGGCTGGTGTTTCCTTGGGAAACACGACAGGGAGACTTTTGGCACCCCCAGGGCACGACATGTTTTTGGGGCACTTTCCAGAAGGCACAAACTGCCCAGGTCAGGATCATACCAGCTGCTTCCGTTCGGGGCTACCTGGCTGGACAACCCTACCCTGCTTATAGGTCACCATTGGACATCCATTAGAAGTGCTGTAGATGCTCTCCCAGGAGTCACAAAGGGGTGGTGTTTAGTCCCTAAGTGAGTGGATAATCGGCACCCCTAACCTCCATTAAGCACCCCTTTGAAACTCCTGGTCCTTTTTGGTTCAATCAATGTTTGAATCATGGAAGTGGAATCGGGTTCGAAAGGTCCATGAATGGGCTTCGTCTGGTCTTTGGGCCGGTGAGCTCCGCTCGGATGGCTCGGAGGTTGGCTGAAGCATGGACCACTGGTGTGGCTATCAGTGAGAGTGACCTCTTCATGTCGACTGCAACCAAACCAGAAGGGTTTTACATCAGCTCGGGGCTCGGAACCCAAAGTGAACATCACTCCAAACCTCCGCTACCTCGCTGTGCCTCCTGCGGACCTCGACAGCGGTGCTACCTCGACCGCTCCACAAGAGCCTTTCAGCCGGACCCAGGAGCTGGGGCTGGATGGTATCGTGTCTGGTGAGTTTGGGGCCCAGTGGAAGTGGCTCCGGGCTGGGAGCGAGGTAAAAAGGACACGAGGCTGACGAGGCTTGTGACCTTCCATTGGGAATGGCCATATTTACATTGGGGTGGTTCAAACAGCGGTATATAGGCATAATTAGGCATACTATATAGTAATTATTCTATTATACATAGCTTGATTTCCTGGGATATGTAGCAGCCAAGTCTGTGGGAACAGGCAGAAGAAAGTATGTTCAGCAGTCTTTGGGGAAGGTGAATGCCAAAGACATCTGAAGATGAAGGTGTATCTCCTAAGGAAGAGTGTGGGCTCCAATCCCAAAGGTAAAGTTGCCGTGGAAAATATCGCTGATATCAACAACATTTTTTTTTACAGTTACTTGTCCCAGCAAACTCGTGAGTGCTGTCATTCCCTAGAGCATCGGCTCAGAGGGTCTAGCAGCCTGGCAAGCTGAGGATTTTGGTGGTGACATCACAAATTTTGGTGGTGACATCACAACCTCCCCAATCATTTTCAAAATGCCATGTCCTCTTGAGGCTCCTTCGTTTCGCATGTTCGAACCTCACCGGTTTTGGACTCAGATCTCAGCATTGAACCAGCGTCCGAAATCGTGTGCTGCGGACGTTTTCTACGTCCGTGGACGTCCAACGCAGAAAGAGATGGGATCAAATCACGTCATGGATGCAGCAAACTGCTTGCCGGACCCTCCGGACCCGACCCTCCGGACCCTCATCTTCCCTCCGGACCCTCAAGCTCTGGGGCCCCAAGTCTCAACTCTTTTGGCCTCACCGAAGTACTCACTGAAGCCGGAACCCATCGGAACCCGAGTACAGGTTTTTCAGAAGCAGATCCTTCGACCACCCCAGTTGGGTACCCCAGGATTGATCTGGCACCTGAAATTCAGGATCACTAAGAATAACCTCTCTTGGTTCCGGACTGCCGAGACGACCGACCGTGTGTTCTCACACGCGAGGCCACAGGGTGAAGCCTTAGCATTGGTCTTGGGCATGTGGGCGGGGCGCCCCAGAGTCCGCTGGAAATACGACGTCTTTTTTTGGTGAGCCTGTCCAATCAAGTACTTCTGTTATTCCCCAAACAGTGTGGTCACACGAACGGGGTTCTTACGGTATATGGTTAAGCACCGGTGTTAGATTCGAGGTGTTGCACCGACGTGGGGGGTGGCGTGGCGCTCCATCCCTTTGGGACGTCTATACGGAGAACACCAGCGTTCGTTTTGCGTCGGATATCCACCGGGACCGGTCGAAAGAGAACGCTGTGGGACTTCCCGACCTTGATTCAATGCCTCCTTTGAACCGAAAGGAACCTCCAATTCCATTAGCTTCACATGAACCCAACCTGTCCCCCCCTTTTCCCGTTTCCGTTTCGCGTTTCGCCCCTTCCTTCTCGCCCTTCCTTCTCGCGACCGGACCGAGCCACCGAGCCACCGGCGGACGCCCGTGGTCAGGTGCAGAAGTTGGAGATCGCCGCCGAGACCGTGGCGGAGTTGATGGCGCAACGCCGCCGGAAGGCGGCCAACGTGGAGTACTACAAGGCGAAACGGCGGGTAACGGCGGGAGCGGATGGCAACTGGGGGGGGGGCGGAGTGAACGAGTGAAACGGGGTTGCTGTGGTGACGAGGGAGTGTGGCAAGATGTGGCAAGGAGTTGGAACGTCCTATATGCTTTCCAGTGTTCAGGTGCCTGGGGTTGTTTTGGGAAGTTGAGAAAACGAGGAGAGAACGAGAAACTGTCCCGGCATGAGATGTGCAGATGCGATGTGCGGACTCCTCAGATCGGCTCGCCTACCCGGCGACGGTGTGGAGAGCTTCGAATGGATGGCCCGCTGGAGTTGGCAAACCCTAGAAAACCCTTTCTGTGTGGTGTAAATTAAGGTAAAAATGGATTGTCCTGATCTCTCCGGAGTGCGAACGAAAAGAAGCCACTTGCTGGTTCCATCTTCACATGCTACGGTATGTTACGGTGGGCTTGCATCATCAGTCCCAAAAGACAGATGGTCTATGTGGAAGATCTTCTCCTGGAACTGTCCCCAGGCCTACAAAGTAAATGGTCCACTTCTAGGCTTTTTGGAGGGAACTGTTCACTGTATTACAGTGGTTTCCGAGATTCAATAGCACAGACCTCAAGATGTTCTTTACATGGGGGTTCAATATAAACCACTTCTTGGAGTCTGTGCCATCTACTCTCAATCCACTACTACACACACATATATATATATATGTAAATATGTCCTCGTGTGTAAAGACGTAGTTCAGCTTCAGTGAGTCTTTATATATATATATATATATGTTTGGGCTGTACAGAGGGATGTCCCTCCCTCCAAGTATGGAAGTGGTTGCCGTTGCCCCTTCGAAGATCAACTTCGACAGCATTCGACGTTCACAACATGTGGACTGCGTGTTCACCATTCTTGAAGGGAGGGGAAGTGATGATATTTTTTGATTTGTTTTGTAATAGAATCAATCTATCTCCGTTTGCCAAAAATGGAGCGAGAAACCTTCAGATGCGTTTCTACATGCTCTCCAGCTCTCCACACACAGCTTCGAGATCGTCAGGGTCACACCGACAGCCTGTTGTGGGACTACCTGAGAAGTCGGTGGCTTGGGCGGCAAAAATGCCTCTGGCACGTACTATGTGTTTATTCGACGATCCTGCCGAACTTGGGGTTCAGATGGGTTCAACAAATGTGCTGTTCCTCTCTTCAATGTATCAATATAAAAGTTGAACAATACCAGGATTTCCAAACGGGTGGGTTTTTGATCCATCCAATGAGTGGATGTGGGTACCCCCATCCTCCAAGTTCGGCAGCCTTTTGGAACTGCTGGATAGGAGTCTTCCTGAGGGAGGTGAGGATGCAGTTAGAGCCAGAGTGGGTTTTGGGCGGCTGTTCCTGTCACCTCAAACCGTGTCGAACCAGAACTGCTTTGAATTTGAGTGAGAATGAAGAACCTGGTATTGAAAGACAACAGGTTACCGGTGTTGTTTTGCCTGTCCAGGGTGGTAATTGTATGTAATTGTGGTATGGACATGACGCAGCCCAGAATTTGGCGACACAGGTGGAGCACCGGACGTTTGGAAGTTGCTTCTTCTTGGCTAATGATTAACGACTTGTATTTGGAAGGCGCGGCCTTATGGCACCATATGCAGGTGTAGCATGGGTCATCGTTCGGAAGCCCCCCTGTTCCACCCTGTCGCATGAACTGAATCGTCCAAGAAAAAACCTTGGACCTTTGAAGGACGGTGGGTCAAGGGTTTCTGAAGAGAAATTGAAGGGTTTCCACACCCCCCTCCCCTCTCCTCCCCTCTCACCCTCCCTTAAGGGATGGGGGACTGAACGCCCCACTTGGCCCCCCTTCACGGCCGAAACCACTTCCTGCGCTGCGCAGGGGTTCGGATGGAGTCGGGTTCGGGGGGTTCGGATGGAGTCTTTCTCTCAGGATGGCGCCGGTGATCCCTCCATGCGACCGGTATTTGCAAGCAGGTGCGGACCCCGGAGCAGGGAAATTTGTTTGGAGTGGTTTTCAATGGTGGACCCTGGCTTGGGGGGTAGGAGTGGGGGGGCTGAGAGAGTGGGGAGGAGAATTCCCCATGCCCCCGAAGAGGAACCAACCGGTGAAGCGCAGCTTGGCGCTGAGCTGGGCGGGTTGTTGAGACTGGCCCCCCCTTTTTTTTCTGGGTTTCACCACTCCCAAAGAGGGGAGGGCTACCAAGACACCTGAAAACTTGAAAACAGAAGTTCAAGGAGACTTTTACTTTGAGGTGTTGAGTCTAAGAAGACCGGAGCGCTCAGAAGCCGCGGCAACCAAGCACAGGGGTTTGAGTAGCTTCAGTAGCTTCAGCCAGCGACTCTTGTGTTTTCAAAGGCCGTCTGACTTCTTGACCAGTTAGGGGATATCCTTTGCTTCAACATGCTTGATCTTGAAGTTGGATGAAGTTGGTGTGCCAGGGAATATTGTAATAATATCGATAAAATATCATACGTATAATCACTTTAGCATGACACGAAAGCACGCACTTTTAACAACAACTCCAACTCCAACTCTATACTCATATGCTCTTGTTGCACGCATATGATATACTTTAGCACTGTAACTTGGACGCACACCTATTATATACTCTTCTTTTCACCCCAACTCCACCGGACCTCCTCTCAGCTCCGCCCCGCCACTCCAACGCCCGAGGTGAGCCAGACCACCTGGATGGTTGGGCCTTCGGCACGGCTCCCGGAGGGTTGGTTCCGCACGACCGCTCGCCGCGGTTCTTTTCTCGGCTAAAAAAGAGGCTTCGTATGGTTTCATGCCTTCACAAACTTGGTACACTTCTTGATTTAAGTGCATGTTCCTGCACTCTCAAACTAGGTACACTTCTTGATTTGTGTGCACCTCTTCTCAACCAAAACCATGGTACACTTCTCTATTTGTGCACCGGCACTCCCCCTTTGGCCAAAATGGCCAAATTTTGGTGCCCACTCTTCTGGAAAATAAGACCCTTTTGGTCTTCCTTCAAAATGGTCATTTTGACCTTCAGCTCAAGCCCCCTTTTCCTTCAAGTCTGGGCGTCCTGAAGAGCGTGTAGCCGACCCACGTGTTGGGCAGATAGGAGCTTCTCTTCCCCTGTCTCCTGTCGACCATGATGTACTTCTCCTTCCTCAGGGTCGCCCAAGCAATCGTCAGCCTCCACGGCAGCCACTCTCGCTCGTCCCAGAGATGCGGGTTCTCGAAGTCGAACATCTTCTTCCTCTCCTGGACATGTTCCCGGATCGTCACCTTTCCCCCGTCAGGCAGGTCCTCGATCGTCAGCCACGTGTCCTTCGCTGCAGTCCTCTTCGGTGGAATCCCCACCTTCCTCCGCAAAGCCGTCGTGAAGAATCCCGGCTGGAAGAGCTCGTCCTGCAGGAAATCCCACACCTCCTCGTTCCATAGGGTCCACTTCCCGAGCGTGATGCCATCGCCGACCGGTGAGATGAAGTTCAATGCTTCACTCCTCATCCCGATTCCCTTACTTCCAAAGGCCGTCACTTCGGATGCCATGCCCCTGGAATCTGCTGCTCCTTCAGTCTCATCTCTCTCCTTCGTCTCGTCAGCTTCAATGCCCGGTGCCCCCCTCGATGCCGATGATGTAGTGCCTTCCTCTACCCCCTCAGCTCTCTGTGTTACCGAGGGCTGCGGTCTTCGATCCGAGCCGTGCTCATTGAAGATCACGTGAGTGCCCTCGGAGTCCATCATGATCCAGGTCCCTCCGAAGTTCTTCCTAGGGCCTCGTCTCTCCATCATCCGATCCCAGGCCGACATACCCAGGCCCAGTCTCGCTCTCCTTTTCCTCTCTGCCTCCGGATCACAGGGTCCACGATGCCATAGGTCAGGATCGGGTCCCGGGTGGCGTTCAGCTGGTTCAGGTCGGTTTGGAGATGGTTGGCCAGTTCCACTGCCTGCCTCTTCAGCCGATGTCTGCCCAGGGTTCATTTCCGGAACTTGGTTCTGACCTGAGCCTACCCTCATCGTTCTCATTGAGATCCGGCTCACGGGTGTCCTCGTTCCCAGCTCCTGTCTCTGATAGAGCGGGTCATCAGGTTCTGCCCAAGGGTATGCTTCTTCGTGAGCTGAGTATCCAAAATCTCTGCTTCCCCTCTGAGTTTCGCTCAGGTCCTCCACGTGGTTAACCCCCACCTCCAGGATGCGCTCCACGACCAACTGAGCCACTCGATCACCCTTTGTAGACCCTTAGGTCGTCATCGGACCAGTTCCTCAGTAGAACCTTCACTTCCCCTCTGAAGTCTCTATCCACCACCCCGGCTCCTGTCCCTATACCCCGGATAGCCAATGAGGACCTTGGGGCAATCCTGCCATACGTCCCGGCTGGGGGTTCGACCGCCAGACCAGTCTTGATCAACACACTCTCGCCCGGGGGGACCAACGTCTCGATGGTGGAGTACAGATCTAGCCCTGCTGCATGGTCTGACCCCCTCGTGGGCAGCCGTGCCTCCGGGTGGAGCAACTTCACCTTGATCTCCTCCTTGGGCTTGAACCACCGTTGGATGCCAGATGTTCCTACCCGGAACGCGATGTCCACCAAGATCGCGATGGCCGCCGCGATCAGAACAATGATCCACCACTCCCCAGCGGTTTCCTTCTGTTCTTCCGTCGCCGCCTCCACCTTCCCCAGTAGACTCGCTGCAGCTACCAGCAGTCCAATGCCGCTGGTGAAGCCGGGTTCAACTCCCTTGTGTACTTCGATCTTCTTGACCTCAATCGGCCTCTTCTCTGCCCCCTTCAACCCCAGGGCTTCTTTGAACCTTCCCAGTGCTGGTCCCGTGAGTTGCTTGGTGAAGCCATCAGCAACGAGGACCTTCCCGGACACATGATCCAAGGTGATCTCCTTCTCCCTGATCGCCTCGGTGAGTCACCAGCTCCGACATCCGGGTTGCAATCTCCAGTTCTTGTGCCCGTCTCAGGCTCCGGCGCCACCCTCTGAGTGCCTCCACCACTTCGTTCATAGTCTGTGGCGTCTTCGGTTCCACCAGTTGTCGAAGTAGCCGTGAACGCTCCGCCAGACCTCCAGGTTGATAACGCCTGAACAGCGCGTAGAGCACCTCCACCGAGCTCGTAGTTCGACTGGGCAAGATCTCCGCTTTGATGCTCTGCGGCACTGAGTTGAGCAGCGGCGTCAGCTGTCCCCTCTGTTCATGGCGGCTCCAAACCCCAGAACGCTCGACCGGCACCCTTGGCCTGATGTAGAGTCGTTGAACTGGTTCCGCCTGTAGCCACTCCCGGTAGGCCAACATCGCGAAGTTCAGCACTTCTTCCCACCACTTCCAGCTCGTCGCACTCAGATCCTTCATTGTCGGGGTCACCAATTGGATCCAGTCTCCAAGGATGATCGACCCCAAGTCTCCTTCACGAAGATCTTGAAGAGGTGGTAGTTCCACTGACCTGATCGCTTCCGCCCACTGACCCTCCGAGGAACTGGTTCCCAACTGTCTCAAAACCGTCTGGGCTGCTTGTTCCAGGGGCGACCCTTTAACCAGCTCCCTGACTCCATCCCCATTTCCCGGGACATCGTGACCTTGTCCTCGATGGTGTCCGCCTTGTAGACCCCACCCTCCAGCTCCCCAGGATCCAGGCACGTCAGGTACTCCCGAGCCTCGTGGAGCCGCACCTCTCCCCATAGTGTCGCCCTCGACGGCCCCGGGAAAGTCCGGGATCTTCACATCGGCCCATGCCTGATTCGAAGGTTCCATCCTTCCCTTCACAGGGGTGCACGGGGGTGGATCCTTCGGAGGTGACGGTGGTGGTGTCGATGTAGGAGGTCTTGGGGCATCTCCACTGGCCTCTCCTTTCACCTTCTCCCTCGATGACTTGACCTCCTTTCTCAACTCCCCCAACTCCTTTTTCAAAGCGGCATTCTGTGCCATCACTGCCCGGAGGAGTTCCTTGACGTCCATTGAAACCCCCCTTTCCTCATCCACAGGCTCCACCCGTCCTGAAGTCTGGGGCCCGTCCACAGCATCTCCATCCGGCAATGCCGCTGGCCTCATGGCTCTCAGTCGAGCTTCTGCCTGAAGTCGCTCGCTCCAGAACGGGTTGACAGGCACCACCTTTGCTCCATCACCCTTTCCCTTTCCATGAGCCTCTCCCCTTCTCTGGGGTCCATAGGTCACCGGCGGACCCTCCGCCAAGACCATCGCGGTCACGGGCACCATGGCGTCTCGAGCGTCCTCGAGGGCGAGGACTTCCTCCTCTTTCGCCGACTCCATCGACCCCTCCTCCGGGGTCGAAGACGCAGCTGCAGCGCTCCGCTTCGCCATGGGGACCAGCACCCTCACCTCGATGGGGTGGACTTACCTCGAAGCCTGGCGCAGGTGAGTTGGGCTCATACGACCGCTCGCCGCGGTTCTTTTCTCGGCTAAAAAAGAGGCTCCGTATGGTTTCATGCCTTCACAAACTTGGTACACTTCTTGATTTAAGTGCATGTTCCTGCACTCTCAAACTAGGTACACTTCTTGATTTGTGTGCACCTCTTCTCAACCAAAACCATGGTACACTTCTCTATTTGTGCACCGGCAGGTTCAACTGGACTGGACCTCAGAGAGACCCGGTCCTCCCTGGTAGACCCAGAGACTTGCGGGCTTCGTAGGGCTTCGTAGGAGTATTCCTGATTGTTGAAGGTGGTTTTTTGGTGGGAAAGGTCTGGGCAGAGTGAACCAAACAAGGAATTTGGGATGTGGTGGTCTGTTCAGATGCATTTAAGATACATTTGAGGGCAAATTTCTGAACCACCAGATAGGAACCATCTTCTATGCAAAGTTTTGGGTGGTTCAATTCATGCAGGACGTTCGCAGAGGTTTTGCTTATGAGTTATATAATGCCGCTATGTATTTATATCTGATGTGAGATAGACATAGGTGGTTTGGCCTAAACAGTGTAATCCCTCGTCGATTGCACGTTGTTCTTGGTAATCAGATGGAGTACTGGCAATGCATGTTCGCACATGTTGGTACATGGGTGTGCATTAGAATACAGCGAACCTCGATCTGGAAGAAGGGAGATAGACCCAAAACCCATTGGTTGGGGTCTTCCTATTGCACACACACGCAGACACATGTTAGCGCTGGCTCTCCAGTGGCTCGGGAAGCCAAAGAGCTCACCTGAGTGATCCCGGTCTCGGCCTGGTACGCCGTGCACGGGGCTGTCAGGATGTGCCTCAAAGGTGGAGGAGTCAGGTGTGGCAAGTAAGAATACTTAAGCTCCAGCCTAGAAACATGTAGGCACCAACACTTGAGGGACAAGGGAGCGTTGAGCCCTTCAAGTGAGCCCTTCACACTGCTCCCACTACTCTGCACAGTGAAAAGTGGTCGGTTCCCCCGTCGCCACTTCATCCACCGCGAAGACTCGCCAAGGCAGTTGTCGGCGGACGGCCAATGGTCTTGTCCGGTTTGCCTGGTGACGGAGCTGCGAGCACCGGAAGATGGACCTGATATGAAAGAAGCTAGTAACAAGTGCATCGCTACGTAGTAACAAGTGCATCGCTACGTAGTAATAAGTGCATCGCTAGGTAGTAACAAGTGCATCGCTACGTAGTAACAAGTGCATCGCTACGTAGTACAAAGGGCATCGCTACTAGGAACAAAGGGCATCGCAACGAACGGAGCAAGAAGCTACGATCGTAGCTCCTGGCCTTACTGCTAGAAACAAGAAGCTGATGAATGCACACGTAGGATTGGTGGCCCCCCTTCAAGGTCAACAAGATCAAGAAGGTTTGAGATTGGAGGTATTGGAGACCGCATCCCCTTAATAAAGGTGATGACCTGATGATGGATGATGAGATGATATGATTCTGTGTGAACACTGAGGCCTGTGAGAGGGGTACCCTTTGTGAGCTCGAAAACGTTCAGCTTTTGAGAGAGTTTTAATAAGGGAAACCTACATGATTTTGCTGAGAGGATTTTAGGGATTGTGGAACAATGGATGCTGACCAGAAGGTATTGGATGCTGGGCTTGATAGTAAATATTAATACGCTAATTAATTGTAATAGCAAACTATTTTCTGGGGAGCTGGACTTGATTAATAGGGGGAGGTTTCTGGTCAGGATAAAAATATTAGGGGGATGTCAAGGTGAAAATTCAGGTTTTATATTAGTTTAGTATTGGGGGCTTGAGCTGGGCTTGATTAATAGGGGGAGGCTACTTGATCCTAGGTGCGCATTACTAGGAACAAAGGGCATCGCTACTAGGAGCAAGGACGCTACTACGTAGTAGCTCCTGGCCATACTACCATACTACTAGTGATGGACAAAATCTCTGAGGGACCTCCTGGGGACAGTCAGGGGAGAGGTCCGCCGAACCAACCAGGATGGACCGACCCAAGCCATAGATTTGTTGAATCCTTCGTTTGGACCCCGGAGGTATGCCGGGGTCTGGTTGACTGCACTTTCGTGTGGGGTGAATACTTCAAGTAGTCACGATTCGTTGAAGGGAAGATAGATGAAGATAGTTTCGATGTTCATGCCTCCAACTATCATTGAAACTCTATAGATTTGTAAAGCCGTGATCTATATGAACTTGACAATCACATGATATTGTTGCCACGATTCCACGATGATTTCCTGTTTTTCCCACACGATTCCACAAAGAGACCCATGGGTAGGAGCAAGGATGCTACGAACGGGGCTCCTGGCCTTACTACGAACGGAGCAATGACGCTACTAGGAACAACACGTGGATCTTTGGACTCAACGTCGACTCCATGTCGACTCCAAACTGCGATCGGCTGGACTAAACACGAAGCTGACCGACCGTCCACAGTTGGTTTTTCCAAACCTGGAACTTGCCCCGATGCCCAACATTCTGGGTTGCAGGTTCAGTGAGGCTCCACCCCTATGGCTCTGAAAAATAACCTGGCGCGGCACCGCGCTAACCGAGATCTATCGGCTGAACCGACGGCGGCCCGAGAGCTCTGGACTGGGCGACTGGGCAATCGAACAGCGATGGTCGATGGTGTGTTGAAATGGACCAGGAACAGGATGGAACAGGTGTTCACATGTTTTTTTGCACCAGTTGGATCAAACTGTTCCTTGTTCACTGCAGAATACTTTTTTTCAACACAATTTGGATACTGTAATTTATTTTGCTAAATCAATCTTCACTATTCTTTCTGGCAGGGATCGTTTGGGAGGGTGGGGGACATTGAACGAAGGATCTTTGGAGATCTCGACAAAAAGCACTTTTAGACCGAAGACACGTTACTTTGAGGGTCTTGAGACATTTTGAGACTAGATCCAGAAGCAGAGTCAAAGCAGGTCGTTTGTTCGTTGTGTGGTTGAATGGCATGGCCCATGAGTGTTCTTTTTGTAGCCTCGGTTTCGTGAACCCCATCGCAACCTCTGAGAAGACGACGATGTTTTTGAATGCCTGTCATCAGGAGGGGTTGTCCAAAACACATGTTTGCTGGAGGGAATGTACCTCATTTTGGAAGAAACCTATTCATTGTAACATAATTAATGTAACATCATGTAACATCCAATAGTTGCTCTAAAGTGGATTGAAGTGGTTTAAGAAATCGTCTGTGATTATCCGATGTGTTTCTGAAGGATAGCCAGGTCCTTGACACACCAGGTCCGAACCAAGTCGGTGTCTTTCGCTCATGCTGGGTCGACACGTCTCATCCCAACAAACATCTTCACTCGGTTCTTCGCTCAGAGACACGGGAGATGTTCGAAGGGTTGAAGGTACTTTGGATTTGTATTCCCAGACTCAGACACTCCATGTATGGAATACATGCTATATGATGTGTTTTGCCTATAGCCTACATTGACCCCCCAAACCGCCCCAATGTCTAGGCAAATATGGCATAATTACATTGGAATTTGAATAAAGAGATCGAGACAGTCCAACCTATTATTGCTCCTAGATGGGTTGCCCTCCCTTTGCCAATTCACATCCAATTTGTTTAAGCCAGGAGCGTTTGGCACACGTGACAAACAATGGACGATCGATAGAATGCTGACTTGTCACAGCTGTGGCTCTCCACGGCATTCCAAACAATTGCAAAGGCAAACCCGTGAGAAGTGCCCTCCGTATGTCACCCACAAGAGGCAAAAGTGATGTTCTTTTCTAGGTCATGGTGGAGGTTCGTGTTCAGCTTGTAGCTTGTAGTAACTATATACCATGTCTTTTGAACACTTTTGCTCCATGGGGTTGAGAATTTGATGAATCGCTGAACGGCAATATAACCGTTCCACCCAAAGGTATCCATAGTATTCCATAGTCCTTGCAAAGATATAGTCTGATTCCGCTATATCCCACTTAGACCTGGCCATGGTCAAGCGGTCGCTTCGCCCGGAAGGCGGCAGCAAGAAGGAAGTGGCGTTCTTGGCCCGGATGCCCGACAGGACGGTGGTACGGACGGTACGCGAGGATGGTCTGGGTCGTCACATGGTGCGGGAGCAACATGTGGTGATCCTGGATGACTGGCGTTTTTCTTTTGTGGTTCAATCCACACATGCCGGGCAGAGCCGATGTGGCTGCCCGAGATCGATTGCAGCTTCCAATTGCCAAAGTTCTTCAAGAAGTCTCAATTCAGCGGCTTTCGTTTGGCCATCATTCCTTGACAGCGCCGTGGCCAAGGATTGAAACAATCCAAGTTCGGTCCCACCACAGTCAAGTCGTACTTGGCCGCCATTTTCTTACAGGCGGTGCGGATCGACCCCTCAGAGGCGCACTGGACTCATTTGAAAGCCATGCTGACCGCAAAGAAGACAGTGACTGCGATCACCACCCTGCTTCTATTGATGTCTAAGTACAACAAGGGGAGCTGGGCGCAGGCAGTCATGATTATGCGGAACGCTGTAGACTTTCAAGTAGCGGTGAACTTCTTGTGTTCCGCCCCGCTGAGTGAAGCGCTTTGCATCGCTTACCTGGGGCTCCCTGACATTGACCTCAGACTCTGCCAGCGTATTGGTGTGATCACTGACACATGCACACGTGTTGGTGATGAAGCCCTCATCATATTTACTACGGTACCATATGTTAGGTTGTGTTTCTTTTGCAGGACACCGCCTAGCGAAGGCCTGGTGTGCGTCGTGTTGGACGAGGCCGTGCTGTGCAAAACGGGAGCGGCCCTGCTGCTAGCTACCAGAAGGGCGGCACTCCTCCGACTATGACTCTGACAAATACCACGACATCTGGGCCAAGCGCAGCACACGAGGACACCCTTGAGGAAGAAAGATCAACCGATTCCTGTGGTACTCAGCACAGCAACACCTTGCCGCGATGCTCCGCCACAGCTCCAGCACTGGTCAACCAAGCCCGGCGCTTATGACGCGAGCCTGTCAGTAGTCGTTCGGATAGAGAGGCAAATAGACGCCGAGGCAGGACACTACAGCAGTAGCGAGCTTGCGGCAGCCTTTCGACTAGACAATGCCAGGCTGGGGTACTTGCTCGGCTGCGCAGGTGCGTCCGACACAGCAGGCGACTTGTTCAAGGCTCTTGTGGCGGGGCAGACGTCCCCCTTCCACGTGTATCCGACTGTTGAGATGATGGACGCTGCAGCAGAGCTGCTGCTCTTTTGCCACCGGTTGAAACTCTCTTGTGCTGCGCATGTTCCTGGAACAACATGAACAACAGAACTCAAGAGGATACATGAGAAGCTGTCGACGAAGAGTCAAGAAGCAGCTGACAAGCTCCTGTACTCCTGTGCTGACCGTCAAGACGGCTGAGATAACTGAGGCAGCGTTACGTGGCCAGAGCTGGCTTTTATGCTTCACGTCGGTTTGGGCACACTCCAGCACTTTTCCTGGGCTTACTGTTGTGGTTCTCGATTTAGCTTGTGGGTCCTCGGGTTGTGTTGTGGTTGTGCAGACCCGTCCAGAAACATGTTTCTACTGTTTCTTGTTTGGAAATGCAGGTTTTCATTTGCATTGGCTTTTGGAACGTTGTTGCGGGGCATCGTTTTGCGTGAGTCCCCTATCCTTTGCCAGGGGTTGGAGCATGCCAGAATATGAAGGATCACCTTGAAAACGCTTCAAGTTCTTGAGGCTTGGTTGGAATCGTGTTCACGACTTGTCGGTGAACCAATTGTCCACAGGAGGGCGACGGGAATGCTTTGTTTGGTGTTCGATCAGATTTGTTTGGGGCCAAGGCTTTCTCCAGATCTATGAACCAGCATGAGGGCACAAAGGAAATCTTTGCTCTGACGAAGGACTTGGGCAATTGCTTTGGCCAATCCAAGGGTCAAATTCTGTACCGGGGCATTTCCGTCGAGCGGGGTGAAGACGTGCAAGGGGGCACCAGGAAGGCTGGAGCTTTGGCAGGAGTCGCAGACAAACTAGATGCTCATTTCAAGCGCATCAGCATTGCTTTGGAAGCTCGTATGGTGTGGAGAAGGTTTGGTCGAGGCAAGATCACACTTGAAGCTTTGGCAGTCATAAGCCGGAGATTGCGGGAGGTTTCCTTTGTAGTCCTGCTGGCTGCCTTCAGGGACCTGTGTAGCACGGTCATGACACATATCATGACTACACAGGAATCGGTTGAGCCGTGGGTGGCGCAGGCAGCCGACCAGCGGTGCTTGCATGCGATTGATGCGCTGCTCCTTGGACTTGGCAAGGCGGAAGATCTGATTTGCGTATGCGTTTTGTTGGCTCAATGGGCACCTGCCGCGGATCGCGGTCGTTCCTTGGAGATTGTTTCTTGCTCCTGGTTTTTGCGCGAGCGCAATGATTGGGTCAGTGGGGGGTTCCTGTTGGAGTCTTTGTGTGTGTTTGCGTTTGTTACGCTGCCTGGATTGTAGTTGCATTTGCGTGCTGCAAAGCTTTGAAACCCTAGGGCACTCTATTGAGCCACCTTCCACGGTTGGTAATGCACTCACCGCCGATCTTCAAAGACGTCGAGCTGGCCACAGATTTGCCAGAGGCCTACACAAGAGGCCGTGCTCAAGGCAAAATCTGTCTATTTGACCTACTTTTCCAGGTATTTGACCTACTTTTTTTGAACTTTTTGCAAGATGTTGCCAATTTTGAGGCAGCATTGTCCAGAAAACATGCAGTGATCGCCAAGTTATCAAGTCCAGTGATATTTACTGGGTTTTGGGGTAAGAAAGACCTCATTCGGGTTTCATTCCTGTGAGCCAGCTTGAAGCACCAGTGGGGTGTTCAAAAACAAAAAAGCCACCGATGCGTAGCATCTAGTAGATGATCTCCACTGTGAAATTCAAAAAACACATTGCATCCTGCCATCTTTTTTTGAGATCGTCTTTCTTCATTTTCCCAAAATTGATTCGCATCGTTTGGGAAAACATTGTGCAAGAAGGGCTCAGAACCACCACCTGGCAGCCTGGATTTGGTGCACTTTCAATAATTGCATGACTTCTGCTCTCACATTGGGCATTCGTAGATCGAACCCCGTCAAAATACCAATGGACAGCGCAGCTGGCATGAGAACAGCCAAATTGAGTCTCGAAACCATAGATACCATTCTGGGCCGAGAAAAATTTATGCAAAAATCTGCCCGGGCTCAGACTGACCTGCCCTGCCCATAGCAACGGTGGTCCCTGAAGCTGGTTCAGTGGTTTCATTACAATCCATACACAACCCCTGGCAGCCATGTAACTCTCCCAATCATTGTCATCCTCCACTTCTGAAGGTAAAAGCCACTGAGCCCTCAGAGTCTGATTGCGCAAGTATCACATCATCACAACCTGATGGCAATGAAACATGGTCTCTCATCTCCTCATCAGAGGATGAAGAAATCATGTGAACTATTGGGGCGGCCATAATATGTAAATCGAACAAACTGTGAGCCAAATGCCTTTGTGAGTACAACCAAATGTTGAACATACTGGAAGTATCTGAAGTAACTGAATGAGAACTTACCGGATGACAAACAATCTATAAAATCGTCAGCTTTCCTCGGCTTTGGTCAGGCTGGAGCATTCCAAAAAAAAACTTTCACTGGTGAGATTCCTTTATGCACCAGCTAAGACCAATGTCCAGTGCTATCATTGTATGTCAATCCGTTGCTCACACGGCGCGAGTTGCATCCAACCGATCTGGAATAGCGGCACTTGCCGCATCCCAGTGTCACTCCTTCAGGAATGTGCACAATGGCTGGTGTTGCCTTCACTCTCGCTTTTGTTTTGGCTTTCACTGCCGGGCCTTTGGATGATGTGGCTTTGGATTTTGCTTTGGGAGTCGCAGGCAAAGACATGGCCATGGATTTTGGAGGTGGGGGTGGCGCTGGAGCAGCTCCTGGAGCTGGCTGCGGGCTCTTGGCAGGCGGTTCAGTCGCCAATGCGCCCATTGCTGCTGCCAAGGCCCACTCTTGTGTGGGCCTTCGCAACCATGTTAAACACATAAGTATTCCTTGGGCCTCCTAGCCTCATCCTCAACAACTGCTGCTTCAAGCATGGCTTTCCACGCGTTTGAAAAGAAACCACACTTGCACATAAATAAATACCAGTATAAATATGTATACACATATATATATATATACATCTAATAACCACAGCCATACTTTATAGCCTGTGAAATGTTCACAAGCTCTTGGCAGCATTTAACGGTTGCACTGCAACATGGGAGCTGATCACAGGACTTGATAACTTTGATGCACTCTTGGCGATCACTGCATGTTTGCTGGACAATGCTGCATCAACGTTGGCAACATCTTGCAAAAAGTTCAAAAAAAGTAGGTCAAATACCTGGAAAAGTCGGTCGGACAGATTTTGCTTTGCTCTTGGTCCTTGTCAGTGCGCCTCGAGGCACGCGAGACCACCCCGAAGCATCAAGGTCAAGGGCAAGAAGGTCAGGGTTCCATGTTGGGTGGCCAGATCGTTCAGTGCGAGAGTGCCTGCAGATTGGAGATTCCCCAGGTACTAAGAAAAGCCTCACCTGAAGGCAGGTTCTTCAGAAGCTGGAAGGTTTCGGCACCATCCCTCGAACTGGTGTCTTGTGCCAACAGACTTGAAGCGGATATTGGACGGTCTTGCATCTGCTCGCCCCTTCCTCAAGACATTGCAGGGCGAGTTGACGTCAATGCTTGGCCGTAGGTGTGAAACCGGCATGTCGGACCTGCAAAGTGCAATGTCCTGCTGCTGGGATTGGGAGGCGTTGTTGCGAGTGGAGCCTTCAAGGTGCCACGAGGCAGCTTTCCTGTGTTCTGGCAGATTTTTTAAGCAACTTTTTGCTTTGCCCAAAGACGCACGTAATGTAGACTCGACGCCCGATATAGGCTGCTGGCACCATTTTGTGAGCAGACCACGGTGTACCAGGTATTGCTTCCGGGCGTTGAAGCCTTTCCTTGCTCATTGCCTGTGGCCAAGTCCAGATACTCTTCCTATGAAGCGACAAAGCGTGTCTGACGCTGAGGCTGGCTCGGCGCCCCGCACTTGCCCTCGCGTGGATGGAAAAAGAGTTATAAACACTTGCCTGTGGAGTGCCATACGCTCGCATCGAACCATAGCTTTTTCTAGTAGAGGGTCCCATAAACAAAAAGTTGAGAAGAGTTGACTAGGACAAGTCTGTTGTGTGTTGTGGTTGTGTGTTGTGGTGGTGTGATGTGGTTGTGTGTTGTGGTTGTGTGTTGGTTGAGGTCCGGCAGTGCCCAGTGCGCTCGGGAGCTGGCGGTTGAGGTCCGTTGGGGAACACTGCCATCTGCAGCTGGCGGTTGAGGTCCGGACGGAGGACTATGTGGCTGACATCAAATCTAACAACCCTCACCTGGGGAAGGTACTAGCTTTGAAGTTTCCGAAACAAACTATAAGCAAATCCAAATAAGTGATGCAGGTCGTTCTTCGCCCATCGGATTTCCGTCTAAAGGACACCGCGGTGACCCGCTTCAAGCGGGTTTTTCACCATGGTGGTTACGTGGATGGAAAACGGCCTCCGAAAACAGCTGAGAATCTCATTCCACGTAACAAACCAAAAGGATCATTTCAGGGTAGAGGTCTCCCAACACCGACTGGTCTCCAGATGTCACGGACGGGCTGAGCGAAGTATGAAAAGCCGATCGAATGAGTTGGGATGAATTTTTGGGAGGTCCAAACTTTGAAAAATCGGTGTTCATCAATCACAGTGGTCCCCAAATCGACAGTGGCGCGCTTTCCAATACATGTTTAGTGGGGATGTACTTTTCTACCTCTTTGGGGGGTTGTATAAGCAAGGTCCTGTCGACATGTCACTCCCAAGTTGGCTGTCAATGTGGGCCCGGCAGGTCAGTCTACCCAGTGCAACATCCCACGCCGCGTGGGTCAAAACTGCCCCCCCAAAAAAACGACTCCAAGGGAAGCTCGAAACCTTGGGCCGTTTTATGTTGTTTGTTTTGTTTCTATTTGATAGCAGGTGCCTGTTTCAGCAGGGGCATGTAAAGAAACCCTGGGAAGTTAAGTTATGTCAGTGAGATTCTGGAGGAAAACTGCTATATGTTGAAATTCCTGGGTGTTAGTTTTTCTGGTTTGGCTGAGCTGTTCTGTTTTCCCCGATTCATCTCCACTTCGATTTCCTAAGAAAATCACAGCTGTTCCATTAATGGATTGGCTAAAGGGAACATCAACAGGACACCATAGTGAAAACACCTCTCGAAACCATGGGTTTCGTGTGATTTCCCCTTAAACATCCTCAATACATTTTAATACATCTTAATGCAAGTTCTGGTACGGTATGACCAAAAATCCTTTTGCGCACTTCGGCCAGGTCGACAAGCAGAAGATTCGGAACATCACACAGATGATGGCTCTGAAGCGCATGGTCCGGCCCCTCACACCAGTGGAGCGCGGCGTGTGGACCGGTCACAATCAAGCAACCAAGATATGTGCGAATTGGCGGGGGAATGACATTGGATGTCGCCCTGGCTATACATTGGATCTTCCAAAGATGCAGAACTTCTGCCCTTTCAAAGCAGAACCTTTGGGATCTTCCAGGTATGCGTGAACTCGGAGGTTTGGTTTTACGTCTCCAGTAGCAGATTCCAACGGATTTAAATCTAAGGTCGTCCAAAATTGTCCCCAAACCCTCGAAAATGGCAGCCCACCAAACCCAAACCACATGAAGCTAACTCCAGTCGCAGTTTCTGGAAACCAACCATCGGGTGCTTCTAGAAAGAGTGACTCCAACAAAAATCAGGATGCTTGCTTGCCCTGCCTGTGTGGCTGCTTGTGTGGGTGCTGCTTGCCTGCCTACTTGCTCTCTGGCTCGATCTGGCTCGCTGGCTGGCTTGCTTTCTAGGATTCCATAATTCAAATCCTGGGGATCCACTGACCATCTGAGAAGGTGAGGACGGAGACACTGTTCTTGGCCGGCGCCGTCGGGCCCAGTCGTACCGAACCTGAGAAGGTCGCAGTGGATCGCTAGGGAATGACTCTTGATGAATAAGCCCCATTATATATGAAGAGGCTGTTCAATCCATTTATTCATCAAGAGTCTGACACTACCTGGAATCTCCTCAAAGATGGTCTTTCTCCAAAGATGTGCCATCACCTTTGGACGCTGGGCTCCCCACCGAACCTGGACCCGAGCTATGCGATTCGTACCTGGGAACATGGGACATGAGCCCCCCAAAAAGCAGGTACTTGATGATACTTGGACCCTTTTTTTTGGTACGAACGGGTGATCGACTCCAGGAAGCTTCTTCTAAGGGAGCTTGTCTGGTGGAAGACCCTTGCGTCCATCTGACCCATCTGACGGACCGATCTTTTTTGGTTCGTTCTTATGGTTCGATCCCCTTTTGGGGAGTCATGGGAACATATGTGAAATAGGCGCGTGTTTTTCTTTTTTCAGGTTCCGAAACAAGCAAATCCAAGTGACCGTATGGTAACTATTGCGAGGCTGTTGAAGCCCCCCCTCACCCTTCAGCTTTGTTTATTCTCCTTCCCCATCATCAAAGAGCCTTGCGGCTGTAGCCAATGCCAAACACTTAGCCACCTTCGCACAGATTGACATCCTTCAGACATAGAATAGAAGAAACAGGTTCCGAAGAACCTAGCAAATTCACATCACTTGCTTACAGCAGGTGTCTCCAGCCACCCCCACATGCTCCCTAACAACAGATCAGTACTGGTCTTTCCAAGTATGAAACAAAGCCATGACCGGCCATTGACGAAGGACCAATCATTTGAACTGCACAGTGCTCTAACCACCGTTGCATCTCTCCTCGCAAGCCCATTCTCACAGCGAAGATGACCCCAAGCGATCCCTTCCCGAACATGTTTTCGCAACGAAGTGACCCTGGGCTTACCCTATGTCCAATGTGCATGAACACATGATCAACGCGCATATAATATATATATATAGAGATCTATATAAATAAATATAAATATTTTCTCATGATGTCAGTTTTGCCAATTTGTATTTGTGGTTCAATCATGTTTCTTGTCAGAGTCTACAAGCTTCTAGCAGCTAACAATAGGAAATGTTCAGATCATCCGATCCTACAACCTATTTGCACTCACTAAACTTCCCGCTTTCCGTATGTCAGAAGCTTAACCGGTCCACACCATTGCCTTCATCATGCTGCCAGATGCTGGCCAGGTAGATGCTTTGTGGATGGTGAGCTGTGAAAAGTGGCAGCATCCCAATATCCAGAGGCTGGATCTCGGCTGTTGGAACAAGAATCAAGACCGGAAGAAGGAACAAGCTCGGTCTTCCTGTGCAGTCAATGCTCTACACAGCACTAGTCACACGACTATGTCAGACTATATGATGTTACTGTGATAGTCAACTACTATCAATTATACTCCTGAAATACTTCACTCCTGCTTCAGTTTTGGTCACCCAAAGACCCCCAGGAATGGCCAGGTCACCCGTCACCAGTGGCTTTCCGCGGCCGAGCCACCGTCCCGCGCCACGGGGCGGATGTCGCACCCCAGGCTGTTCCAGGTCTACCACTCTCCGTGGCTTGGATGAGAGACGGACGAGCCTGAGCCTGGTGGTCACAGATCGAGCGTTTCCATGTGTGTGGCACAAGTTACCAAAGCTACAAATTGGGTGGTGAAATGGGGTAGTGAATGTAGGTCATATTTACATGGGATCGTTTGGGCATGAGGATTGGACAACATATTTTGGCTCGGCCCCCCGAAGACTGGCTATCTTCCACGAGGTCAGTCCCTCGGTTGCCAGAGATTTGGTCAGTCACTCATGTGAAATAGCCGTTAAAAAGCTGCTCAAGCTCTTAGCGAGGGGGTTGACGGAGTGAATGCGGTCGCAGCGGTTTCTCATGCGGTCGGCGGTCTTGCGGCTTGGGGCCAAAAGGAAACAAATCTTGGGGGAAGATTGCTATTGACCACCCAATGGAGTTTTATAAAGTTTACATGCATTGGGGCGAAAATCGCTTTTCGGCATCTATTCCCCCATTTCAGTGTCCGCGTACAGTACATGTTTCATTTCTGGGAGTACAGTACATGGCTAGGGAGCTTTTCCTCCATCCCTTTCATGGTTCAGGAGCGTCACCATATCCCAGAAAGGAGCTGCTTAGGCATGGCTCCGACGCCAAACACCTCGGGGCGCTGGAAGCTTGTGCTGACGCGCCTCTTGTGTTCTGTTGGCTCCGTGCGGTTGGAACATGATATGTGCGCGGCACGTGCCGCCGCCGGTGGCTTCTACATTGTCCCTGTTCAACATCCGTTCAAATTCTTCACCCTGGAAGTCCAAGAGTATCTTATGGTCACCCTAGTCTTTAGTTGATCCGAGATCCGAAAGGAATTGCGTTTACTTTAGTGGTGCCCAAAAAATGTTGCGTGTTGTGCCAGTGTCAAATGTTACGAACAACCAGGATTTCCTGGGAGTAACTGTGTCAACCTTGGACAAGGGGAACTGCCAAGATTTTCAGAAGCTAGTAGGTTGGAGGCCATCGCTACTAGGGTGGAGGCCATTACTACTAGTAGCAAGGACGCTACTAGTAACAATTTGAGCTGCAACTGTTCATTGATCAACTCTTCAAGATCAATCAATGGAGGTATTCTTGCTACTAGTAGCGATGCCCGTTGTTACTAGTATAGCTTCTTGTTACTAGTAATGCCAGGTGCTACGTTCGGTTCGCTTCTTGCTCACCATTTTCAGAGATCGACTCGATCGACTCGAGGACGCACATCATCATGCGGATGGAGTGCGCCGCTCCGATCCACTCCCATCGGTTCCGCGTGGCTCGACCGTCCGATCGAACATGATCGCATGACGATTTTCACACAATAGAACCGATCGAAGTAGATCCCTAAGCGTACTGACCGTCCGATCGAACAGAGAGTACCTTTAGGGATCTATACTTGTGGGTTCTATTGTGTGAACATCGTCATGCGATCACAACTGGAGAGTGGTTTCAGAAGAGACATCTTCGGTCTTCTCTGACATCTACTCTGAAACCACTTGTAACGCTTTTGTTGACGAAATGCTGCAGTTGAGTTCTCAAGATGATGAGCACCTTGACAATTTCTTCAGAATGACCAACCTCCATCGGACCCTTTTGGGCTGCAGCATAGAGATCTGAACGTTTCACTTTCCCAAGTGAGTGGGACATGCTTCAGTACGCAGGTCCCAATTGAGTTGGCCTATGCAACATGTTTAAGATCGCCTGGTATATGGCAGTGGGTCCAAACCCGGACCCCCCCCTGCCCCTAGTCTATTCTATTCATTTTGGTGGTCAATCAACCCGAATCCACTGTTTTGACCCACTGCGATATGCCAGTGCAAGCACACTTATAGGAGACAAGAGGTTTTCATGCCATTCAGGACATTGTCCTGATGGCACCCAGACAGTCTTTGACCTGTGGGTGACACAGATTGGAGGTCGGAGCGATGGTGGGCAGTGGGGGTTTAGGAGATGGCCTGAGCCAACCTACATGTTTGGCTCTGGTCCTGAACGCTTATTCCTCTGTTGAATCTAGCAGGCCTGAAAAGTGACTCCAAAAACCCAGATAGAAATTGACAGGTCAGGTAGCGGTAGAGGAAATCGAACACTCCTTTTCCATCTCCGGTTTCACTCGTGCCATGTGTTGGCTTAGAGAAAGCTTCACCTTTGATCTCGATGACATGTCGGTCGTGGGACGCCTTTGGGACATGTGATTCCGATGAAGAACGAAACCAGTGGGCCAGACCATGGTGTGGACGGCCTTCCGCTTTCGAGCTGTGGGCGCACACCGACCCAAGCGAGAGTGTCTTTGCATGTGTTTGCTGTGTTTTCTTTTGTTGGTTCGCATGTTTCTTTTTTGTTTAGAGCGTCATTTTCCTTCCCGGCGGTCGGAACAATCCTCAGTCACCCTTGGGTGTCATTTGTTGCCTGCAGTTTTTAAGTACCAAGAGCTTTGCCTGCTTTTGGACATGAAACAGACGCGGTATGGCCCAGATTTGTGGTGCGAAGGGAGTGCCATTGACAGTCCCAAGAACGGATGGGTAGAGGCTACAGGATATGACAAGAGTACACAGGAAAAGCACATCATCAGATAAAAATGCTGCATGAGATGCTTTGCTCAACATCTTGGATTAGACTTCGACCGCAAGTTCTACCTGACTTCCACATACTTCCACCATCCCTGACTTCCCTCCCATCCCTGATCCTTCCTTCCTCAGACTCTACATCGCCATCCCCTTGTGCCTCGCCATGTGCTGCCCCTTCTTTCCGGATCGCCTGGTGCTGGAGCGCCGCTTCGACCTGGAGCTGCACAGCTTCGGCGAGCGCGCGGACAACGACGGGGCAGAGGGATGGAGCTTCGGGATGAAGGTGACCTGGCGAAGTGCGGAGTAGGTGATGGTTTTGAAGGGTTTTGACATGGTTTAATTGACATGGTTTTGATATTTAACATGTTTTTTAATTGTGTCCCATGTTGTTTTCCCATGTTTTTTTTCCCTATATGTATATGGGTCAATCCCCCAACCTCTGGGGGCGATGTTGTAATTCTTATGCTTTGCAGGTTCCTTCCGTTGCGCAACTCCAAGGTGAGCTGTTGCGACAATGGCCTCGTGCCCAGACCGAATCTCATCCGGGCACCCGCTTCCGGGTCCGCTTCCGGTCGCGCCCTGTTGTCTTGGGTGGCTCTGCGACGGTCGCAGCTAGATTCAGCGGAAGGTCGTTGGGAAGTAGTTCCCGGGAGAGGCCGAACCATGACGCAATTGATCGAAAGCAAGAACGGAGATGGATGTAGACTTGCTGTCACTGTTGTGTAAGGCGCCCAAGGGGATAGCATGCCGCATCCACACGGAACCCACGACATGCAATTCTCAGCTTGAAGTGTCCGTGTTGTCAGTTGGATCATGTTGGATCCGTGTACTATATATTATAAATGTATGCCGTATTTGCCTACATTGGGGTGGTTTGGGGGGTCAATGTATGCAATATACCATACATGGAGTGTTTGGGATACATATATAATATGTGTATATATATATATACGTTTTTTCGCTCCGGATGGTTCCGGTGGTTCCGCACTGTTCAACTGTCCTTCGACGGGCCGCGACGACGGTGTGGTGGAGACCTTTGACACGTTTCGCGGACAACGGGTTCGGGTGAAAAAGGCCTGAACGGCCTGGCCTGAACGATGTAGTCAAAGGGTGAACAGGTGACACAAGCCAACTACAAGAGGGACTGCATAGCAAAAAGAGTAGCAATATGACAACAATTAAACACATGAGTTAGAACAATTAGTATACAGTCCAATACAATCTCTTCATTGCTCCTCTTTCAGTTGCTATTTGGTCTTGGTACTGTCAATTTATGTGCGGTTTTCCATCTTTGTCCCCGACTCTTTTCCATCAACGTCGTTTTCGCACATTCGGTTCGACGATTTAGCAGAGTGTTTGTGAAGACCAAACACTGGGGGACACAAGCATCCAATTGACTCAAAGCACACAGGATTCGAATCCAATTGCCCCGGTTGAGCGAACCAACACCGTCAAGCGGGGTCAACTGGGTCAACTGGGACCCTTTCGCAGTTGTTTTTTGTGTTTTTCTTTCTCGAAACGGAATCCGATGTCTACCCTGTTGACATACGCAAATCCAAGAAATACACAAGTTGATGACGACTTATATTATATAGACCCCCAAATAGAAAGAAACGTAGATTCCACTAAAGATGTAATATTGGAAGCCGATTCTATCTATGTGGGGATCACTTGTTCATTTTGGAATTTCTCGAACTCCACTGAACCACCGCATTCTCACCCGATCATGCTCATGCTGGGTTCCAACGGCCCGTCCGACGCCTTTTTGCGGACACCACGTCTTCTCCCAGGTGATCCTTGACGTGGATCGATCCGTCTCTTGGAGAAGCGGATCGACCGAATCGACCGAAGGTGCTTGAGAGGGTCGTCCGAGGCCAGACCGAGAACTCGAGAACTCCTCCTCCGCCGAAGGCGTCCGATCCTGGTGGCGCCATCCGTTGCGCAATGAACATCCAGTGATGAACCAGAGAGAGCCATTCCCTCTGATGCAAGGAATTGGGCTCAACGTAGTCGATCCCAGATGAAAAAGCTGATGTTTGTTCAATGTTCTTCAGCTTAAGTGCAGCCATGAAAAAACAACAGTGTTTTCAGTTGATCCGGTCATTTTCACAGCCATGAGGGTTTTTCAGCTTGGCTGTCACATTTTTGGCTGCAGAAGTAGCTGCAGAAGTAGCTTGGTCCAGCGGTCGTGCTTCCCGTTCGAAACCGGGATCGGTGTCCGGAGATGGCGGCGCGAAAACGGCGGGGTGACGCAAGATCCTTACGGCGGGTGAGCCCCGGTCTAAAGGTCCCCCTCCAACATCTGTATGTTTAATGACTCACTTCAATGCAAGAGAACCTGTTTCAATGTACCTGGGGTTTGATGTTTGGAAATGACTTCGTTAACAGGTCAAGACTCGTATCCACAACGATGTTGACCTTAAGTAAGGAAACTCCGATGCGCGATGCCGAGTGTCCGTCGGTGTCTAAGGATGACACAATTCGCCGAGAGCTGGCAAGGAATCCAGAGTGTGCCATCTTTCCGGGCTATGTCATCCGAGTGGTGAATGGCTCGACGCAGGGTCATCAGATGTTGGCGGAATTCCATTCCTCCAGCAGAGTTCAGCCCCTTGGTGGCCGTTCTGCCGTTGTGTGTCAACATCCTCAAAGATTCCTCGAGCAGAAAACATCCCACGATCCGTGACATGTCGACGGCCGCTCCTTGTGGTCACGGCTGTTCCGTCTTCGAGATCCCCGAGGTTTAAACAACAAATAAACAAATATCTTTGTGGGTCGAGTGTTTTTTCCGATCCCTTAGGTACAAATGATTGGGCCTCCAAACCCGTGAATTCTCAACCAGATAGGCACAACGGGTCGACCTGTTTTTCTTGTTTTTTTTTCCTCCTTCCACTGACTGGGTGAGACTGAGGGGCCGACTGTCTCCCTGGGTGCGTTGCTCCGTATCGAGACACCGTCCGTATCGCGTCGAGGATCACGGTGTCTTCATTTTCGACTGACCTACAGAAGGCCACCTATTGGGAAGCGTTTCAGGCACGAAGAAGAATGAAGAGCCTCAAGCAGATGGCCAATCTCTTCCTGGATCTAACGACCTCCGACCTGGAGGGTCTTCCACCGTCGACTTGCTGCATTTGCTTGGATGACGTGACGTCCCAGTCGGTGACGTCGGTCCAGGTGAGTTGCCATCACGTGTTTCACAAGGACGAAGGGGGGCGGGGAGGGTGGTTTTGGATATGTTATATACTATATATATATATAAGCTTAGAATGGCTTATATATAGTTTAGGCGGTTCAGATATATATATATATATATTTTTTTTAAATTATGCCCCATATACGATATGTTGAGCTTTAGCGTTTCACACATGTTTATTCTTAAGGTGGAGTCGTTCGATGTACTGGATGATTCAACATACTGACTACCAAACCAGGAGTGCATTGTGGGATGGCTCAGCAGCAAGGCTCCCGAGCTCCCAGCTTGTCCTTTGTGCAAACAGCAGCTTCGGCCGATGGAGGCAACGAAGGCGACGAGGGAGAAGTGCTTGGAGGAGGACATCACCATAGATTTCGTTTAGGTGCCCAACACAGAAGACTCAGAGTAGGTACTGCCTGTGGCTGTGTGAGAGACTCCATAAATCGTAGTCAATTCGATGCCCATCCAGTCATGTCGCCGTTAGATCAACAAAAGTACATCAGAAAGTACTTGGTCTTGCAGTTCATTGTAACGTTTGCTATGTGCACCCGGTCTGGGCATTGCACACACGTTCCCGCCATCAAGTTCAACCTCAAGGGCTTTTCGCCAACGAACCCGAAGGTTACGCTTTGATGTTGACACGTGTTGACCCTGGTAGAAAGAATCCCAGCTGTGTTAAGAGGAAAGAATCCCACCGAGACAGTGGGTAAGAACAAAACCTTAGAGTGGTTGAGTGGAAAGTCCAGGGTGGAATCAATGGCGCCATACTTCTCCTACAAGTCCAGTCTGACCTAGTAGAACCTCGTAAAACCTATAGTACGTCCTGAATAGCAGGGCGGGTTCTTGTATATCCAACTCGAGGAACATGAGGTCAAACTGACTTGTAGGATTCCGTGTGAATAGGGCTCCGATCCGCGCGGGATCTCGGCGAAGAAGTCGTTCCCGAGCGGGATCTCGGGATGCTCGGGATGCTCGCCTGCGTTGACAAGAGCTGCGTTGACAGTCTCGTTGGGTGATGGTTTGGAAGCTGATGTTCAAGCTTTGCATGGCATGATCAACCTACTCAATAATTACTCACCAATTAAGATGTTCGGAGTTGAAAGCATCAACCAGTTCTGCGTGGGTTCTCCAAATCATTTCTTCGGCCACGAAGCCGTTGGCTGACAGACCCCGACCGAGCCGGCGCTCGAAAACACGCGTGTGGCGGGTGAAGAGCGTGCGCGCTCTGCGCAGTCTCTCCGAGCTCTGAAACGCAAGTCCGTCCCCACGTGCCCTGCATCATGCAGGAAAGATTAATATAATCATATAACATGGTCCAGCTTCTTCAGTCATGGTCCAGCTTCTTCAGTCATGGTCCAGCTTCTTCAGTCATGGTCCAGCTTCTTCAGTCATGGTCCAGCTTCTTCAGTTCGTGACCTTTTGAAGGTTCCTATTTCAGTGACCCGTACTCAGAGGCTTAAGTGACCGAACCAACCAGGTTATCAAAAGGTCACTTTGAAGAACCAGGGTGACAGAAGAGTTGTTGACCGTGACCTAGGTAAAGAAAGCGAGGAACCAACAGATGGGAGGGGTGCCGATAATGGGAGGGAGACTCTGGTCGTTGTTTCTGGCCCGTGGTGATCGACCTTGATTTAAGGACATGTGAGATAGTCTAAGGCAGCCAGGCACGGCTAAATGAATGCTAGTCAGCTTTGCAGCCCATGGTACGCAGCAGAGATGGGGAGCACAACATTGCCTATGGTCCTGACTCCAATTTGATAGATTCTTTAAGCGATCATGATCGAGAAAGACAGGACGGAATGATGGCCTGATCATGACAGCATACATGTACAGTACATTTAATCAATACACATTGCAAGGGAGTACATACGAATTCTGAACCTTTTCTCAGTTCCCATCCTCCCTCCCAGCAGCTGAGCCTTCAAGACTGGATGGATACTGTATGTGTCATGGCACCCAGAGCCTCAAACCAGGTCGTCTATTCTGTGCATGCTTGGTGAAGGGTCTGGGTGCCATGACCCACAGCCGAGCTCCACCAGGCTTTTGCCAACAGGTGTTTCGACCATTTAACAACAGGGTCGACTGGAACCCCTGCGACCTCACGACTGGGCCCCGGGGGCCTCGCGGGGCGATTGAACTCCTTTGCAGCATGTTTTGACCCAAAGCCACATGCCCTGCGAGACTGACGGATCCACTATAGAGTCACTAGAGCGTGTCGAATGTCAGATCATGATGGGAAAGCATGGGAAAGCTGCTATCCCATGGATATATTCCGATCTATCCTTTGTGCTTTTGGCTCCCCCCCAGAAATGGATGTTCATTTGCTTCCCATGATGTTCACCCCACATCCTCAGTCACCTCCTCCCGGTGTCCTGACGGTCCCTCACGGAGAAAGCCGGGTCCAGGTACGCGGGCGCTGGCAGTCTCCATGATCGCCTGTGCCGCGTCGAGCGCAGGTGGGAACGAACCGGACGTGGGTTGGTTGGTGGAAATCCGGACACCTTGGGGGAGGGAGGGACGTTTTTGGATCGTTTTTTGGGGTTTGAAACAGGGAGGGACGTTTTGGGGTTGCTTTCTTCCTGTTTTCAGACGCCGCCTCTGTTTTCGGGGTGTTGGACGACACATGAATTTCTCTCGGGTGTTGGACGGTGGGCTGCCCGATTGGCTTAGTTTGGAGTACGAGTGTTGAAGTACATGTTCGCTCCTGTTTCTGTTGAATCTTACACTCCCGAAAACTAACATAGACCCTGACTGTCTGGCCCCCTGGAAGAGTGTTTTCCTTTACCAACCAGTGGTGTACTCAGGGTCCATGGGATCGTCTTCCAGGTCCAGGGTGTACTGGATGAAGGTCCTGGTTGATGTGTTTTTGTTTACACACACATCAACCACTTCGCAGGCTTCACACGCCATCGACACGACATCGATACGTCGAAGCGATAGACCTTTCGGTATCGTGACACGACTCCGTAGCGGCCGCGTAGCGCTGCATTCCACGGAAGAGAAGCAAAGCGGAGACCAAGCTGGTGGAGAGGTTTTGTCATCAACCTGGTGGCTGCAGCTCAAAACGCAGCCCTGAAGTTGACAAAGAAGTGGTCCAAGAATGCGATCATTCGAATCCAGCGCAGGGGATGTTCCGTTTGAAGACGACGATCGGTGCGCAATGAGACATCTTAATTGTCGATGAGAGAACATGCTATAGAAGCATCCATCCCGTGGCAAGATGTATAGTCCGTATAGTACACTCCCTGGAATAGTTAAGGAAGTGGATCCCTTGGGTGGCAATTTTCCTCTACAAACAGGTGGTGAGCTCCTTTCATGCGTGTAACTATTGTAATTTGTGTTGCTCGTTGTGAAACCACCATCAAGCTGCACACCATCCTCATGCAGGAGGCCTCACCATCCTCAGGGAATCCACCAGAAAAACGCACCTTAAGCGATTGGACATGATCATCCGCCGTTCGTAGGTGGCATCTGAACATTCGGTTGTCCCTTGTATTCTTTGTGTCAGCTGCGCGAGAAGTGGAGCGACCAACGATCGACAGACCCAGATCGACGCTCGACGAGAGATTTCGGAAGGAATGGTCTAGTCTGGTCATGTTCGGTCTGAAGTCTGATACCTGATTTCAATTAGGAAGGGAAGATATGGGAAGATTGGTGGAAGCTTCCTTGACTTCACTGCAAAAGATCATGCCATGGGTCTCCATGGTGTTCGTCAGAGCGGCGATGCACTCGGCGACTCGACCAACGACGCCACAGGCCCTTGTCCTTTGCCAAGGCGTCCGTGTCCCAGAGCTGTTGGTCCGAGGATGTCGGTCTGAGGTCGTCCCTACTTCTTGTATATGAGGAGCATTCTAGGGGATGGAATTTCCTCAAACCATGGACCCCTGGGGGTCGACTTGACTATTTGATAGGGAAGGCCGAACCCTGGTTCGGTTTCAGAGGGTTGCGAGGGGCGGCCTCTTCCGACTCCCATCCTTCTTGAGGTCCCTGGCCACAGATTCGGTCCATCACTCAATACCCAGGCACTCCATGGGACTGCCATATATGCCGATCAATTGGGGTAGTTTTAGGGGTCAATGTAGGCATATGGCAGTCCCATGGAGTGTCTGGGATATAAGAAGGAGTCAGAAGTTCTGACAGAAGTCTCCATGATACTCTTGGCGATTGGGGAAGTTTAGATGTCCGTATAGTATGGGTGGTTTTATTACTCAATTTGCACTGACGTGAGGACAGTCAAAGGCCATTGACGTAATTGGTTGAAGCTGAAGCGACGTAAGTGACGGAATGGATTCCCCAGAACTTCCACGTCGGAGTGGTTCTTGCCCCAAAATGGGTGCAACAAAAAGCGCCAACAGACATCCACGCACTGGCGGGATGTTTTCACGACTAGTCAGAGTTGGAAGGTTCCAACGACTGAACGACCTGAGAAGGTCATGTTGACCGCGACTTCATCGGTCAACACGCCGGCTGTGCCCATCCCGACCGCGGGACCGGTCGGTCACAAGACCCGTGGACCGGTCACCCTTCGTTGGTCACCACCCGTGGCCGCCGGGAGAGGCGTCTGCACCGGTCAGATCGGCGGGTCGCATGGACCGGGCCAGCATGGCGTGGAGCGGACACAGCGACATGGGGTTGCTTCCGGGTGAGAGAGGCCAGTAAGTAGGCAAGGCCATCGCCGTTCTCGATTTGGTGAACTTGGTACATCCACTTTGGATGAGATCGGGCCCCCAATAGCCCCCGTGTCCAAGAAATCGTGTGGAGGACGGAGGCTGGGCAGGACTTGGATCCTAACCGATTTGAAACCATTCACTAGTTAGGGCACCTCACTGCCAGGTCAATTGAAACCTGTTAGGGCCGAATAACCCTCCAGCCATCGGAGACCTGTTGGGTTCGGTGCTGGTAGTCAGCTCTTGCTCTGAAAGAATTGGGCAGAAAGGAATGAGCAGCATCTGGCTGGAAAGCTGCGACAACTGGTCATCTACACATCCAGGTCCATACTCCAGACAATTCCTATATCAATCTAGGACACTGGACATGGACCCTTTCATCGTTGTCCTCCATTCTAAAGGAATCATTGCCTGATGTTCGAGGTGTCTTCCACCAGCGAGGGAGACCGCCCGAATCATGGGAGTTCCCACTTGGAGCCACCCTGCCAGCTGCCTCACCTGCCAGCGCAGCGCTGAGGGCCCAGCTCTTACAGCAGCTCTTCCGAGCCGTTTCGCATCTCCACCTTGGGCCCAAAGTGTTGGGTGACCCAGACCTGGTCGGCCGCGAACCTGCAGCCTGGAGGCAGGGAGAACCTGCAGGAGGCAGACGAAATGGATCGATCTGGATATTGATTGATATCACAGGTGGGGTGACTCGTTCCACAGCTGTGGGTGGATTTTCGGTCGAAGATCAATGGAAGATCCCTCAACGGACGTCGAGCAGATATTTGGTGTGGTGTACCTCCACAATAAATCGTACCCTGCACAATATCTTGCGGCACATGACCAGATATCCCACTCTTCATGGGGTTTGCTATGACCAGGCAGAGGATGAATGGATGACATATCGAACCAATCAGCTACCACGATGCTGACCGGGGCACGTGCTGCACCTGAGGGCGCACGTCCCAGGTGCCACAGAGACATTAAGCCCGAAAGCTTCGACTTGCACGAGGCCGCCACACTGGGGGGCGCGTGGGGGAGCACTCGGTGGTTTTAGGTCCCAACCCCAAGAACCACATTGCACGAGACACGGGAAGGGGCAGATGGGACGTGGAACCCGTGCAGGACCGTGCTTGATCACAGGTGGGGCTTGGCCAACTAAGCTTCGTTATCTTTGGGGGGCCCAAAGCCCAAGGTCCTGGAGCTAGCAAAAGCACTTCATGTTTTATGCATCAAGAGCCTACATGATTGGCACCTCACGAAATGGCTGATGGGATATAACTTAAGGCTCAGGAGCTATCAGGCCTGGCCTGGCTTTAGAGCTGCTGGTGAGCTTTTAGGTCCAGAGCCAAACACATCCAAAAACATACTACGTACCCTAAGAATCCGGGCCCTCAAACAGATAGGGTTTGGTTCGGGCCTGGACCCCTGCCATGGAGAGCCCGTTCGGATTCGGGTATGAATGCAACCACAAAGACAATGGTAAAAGGGCCAACCAATGGAACCTCCCAGTCCCCTGACTCTGCTTGGGACTGGGCTTCCATGCGTTCCGACCTGGCACGACCGGTCCAAACCCGTCGAACGACGCCACTGACCTGGAGGTCGATGTCGCGCGCGCGTCACTGGAGGGTCGGCGTGGACCCAAGGGAACATCTATATGGGTTGGTTTTCAACTCGGATCACTGGGGTGTTCAGTCTTTGAAACAACTGACATCAAGTTGGTGGCCAATAACCCCCGCAAATCTCTCCCCCTACCTCCGATCGGATCCGCACGAGACGTGTCGGGTCCGGGTCGTAAGACGAAGAGACCGTGTCGCGCCCGCAGACGGTGGAGATGATCTCTTTGAAGTTGACCAACTTTCAACTGGCCTTTGTCGCCGAGGAGAAGACGATCGGGTCCCCGCAACCGGAACCGGGAAGACGACGGACGATCGATCGATGCGTGTAGTCCGACGTGTTTGGGGTTTCTTTGGACGCGTTTGGGGATCCATTTCTTCGAGCAACGAAAGGTTCATATTTTAATGGGTGTTTGTTGTTGGATGTGAGGGGCAGCGGCGTTCTTTCCGAAGAGAAGGGGGTTTCTCTCCCAGACCGTGTTCAGAGGTGGGCTTGGCCCTGGGGTCCTGGGGCCCGGTCGTTGTGGCGAACGAAAAACATGGAAGTGGCATGGCGTGGCCATTTGGATGACCATGATCCTCTCAAAATAGATCCGCTTCAGGGAGTGTGCAGTGGTTGTCCTCCCCCCACACGAGACGGGTTCCGTGTGGATTTGGATTCGATATTCATTCATTGGAACATTTGCATCCAGTATATGTGGGAACAACATGTGCCAGCCCTAGAGCATCTAGTGCTCCAGAAGGTATATTAGACAGGAGTGATCCCCGACTTGCATGCAATCCATGTCTCGAGTCGCATGCCATACCCCAACCCCACCCCAAGCACCTTCTCAGGAGGTGGTTGGAGGTGTAATGCATCTTGAAGAGCAAAGACCTCCAAAGGCATGGATATGCATGGATTGTAACAACTCTTCATATAACGTGTGAAATGGAGTTATACGGTGTAACCCATTGCCAGCGCAACAGGACTCGGCCATTTGTTTGATCACGCGTTTGTGAGGTCGATCTCGGCCGCTGGAACCCAATGGATCATATGATCAAACGTCACAAGTCTACGTATACAATTAGGACTACATTGCTAGTAGGTGGGAGGCCATTGCTATTAGGCTTTAGGATGCTTTAGGACACGGCTGCCATGGGAATCGAACGATTCCCACGGCCATAGCTTCCCCCGAACGATTGTCCAGACAGATGTGCAGGACTGCTGGTGTACGCAACAGTGTGGCACCGTGCCCTTTGTGGCACCGGAGATCCTCAAGGGGGAGAGGCCGGCTCCTTGTGCCGATCTCTTGGGCGCTTGGCGCTGGGGAGAGAGACGCGCTGGTCTTCGTGTGACATGGTATGACATGGGTATCCTTATGCCTTGGGACCCTGTAGAAGTCCAAAGACACAGTTTTTGGGACCACAGAGGGGAAGGACATGTTAAATAATTTAGTAATATCTTTTTGGGTCACCTATAGTCAGACCTTTAAAAATGGTCGCCTGGACTTCCAGGGCTTATGATACAATTATAAGGGATATGATGATGTATGACTCTTTGAACACCTCCCTCTGACTTCTTGGCGATCTTTACTGCAAAGCTATCCTTTCCGATCTACCCATGACATCAGGGGAGATACCAGGTCGAATCGACAGGTGCTACAGTCGGCCCCTCGCATCATATGGACTGTTGAGGAGAAAAGCACTAAAAGACCGCTTCTCTCAAAAGGGTGGTTGAAATGTAATCACCAGTCTACATCTATCTACATTAAGACCCCAAACACGTGCTTGGACATCTCGTTAACTGTTTAAACCTTGGATCTTTTAGGACTGCAAGGAAGAATGCGTTCGCCTGCCCACACTGAAAACGTCTTCGCCCAATGGGCCCTGGACGCAGAAGAATGTCTGGATGAGATGCGTGCTCAAGAAAAGGTTTCAACCTTCGTTTGAGAAGGTGCATCACATTGAATGTCTGGTGGTCGCATCACCAACGCAGCTGGCGGCCATGCTTGGGACACTCGAGCCTCTCTATTGCATATTGAGCCTAAGCTTTGTTGAGGTTGATGTGCAGGTGAATTCCAAGTCCTCCTACAGCGTTTGGTCCTGCAGCCCAAAAGAGCTGAAGTTGAGGACCTGAAAAAGGGGCAAACCTGATCTACCTACCCAGACACCATACTTGTCTGGGACTGGACTCAGTGCTGCCCCAGAAAGAGAATCCCAGAAACAACCACCCCTAGTAGATTCCTTTGCTAGTAATTACAATTCTAATTAAATTCTTATTGTTACTACTAGTAAGGCACCTGTTCCTAGTAGCGTGGCACTTGCTTCTACTAGCTTCTTGTTACTACTAGTAAGGCACTTGTTACTAGAAGCGATGCACTTGTTTCTACTAAACCATTTTCGGAGTCAGCACTGCCCCCGCACGACGACTCGTGTCGATCGTGAAAAATCGCCCTGGTTTTGCGGATCAGGTATATATCTTTACACTCCCTGGGACTAACATGGTTACGTGGAGAATGGCCCCGAAAGGAAGACCATGAAATCCACATACCAAACAGCTGGTTTTCACTCCAGAACCCTTAGTGAATTCCAGGGAGAGGATGTGAGGGTGTTCATCCCCAAACCCAGGTGAACATGTGTTTTTTTCCAGGTTCCGACACGTCGGTTTCCAGCGTCACGTCGTGTCGTGTCTGGGTCTGTCGGCCGAACGTTGGGAGTCGGACACTTCTACTGCGCGGACGTCGCTGTGGCCGGTGAGTCGTTGGTTGGTTTGAGGGGATACCGGTGTGGCACCACCAGTACGTGGCGCCAGTACGTGGCACCAGTGGTGGATGAATAGATTTGGCATGATTTGGGCACCAGTCCGTGAACCAGCAATTGTTCTTCGGTACGTGGTGCCACAGAATCGACACCCCACAACTTCCGGGTGTGGACGGAGTCCGGTGTCAGGTATGATGGAATGGCTGCTGATATGTGGGGTCAGAAGCTGAGAGCGGGTAGAGTTGATTGGATGGGCACCCCTGGAATTCTTTGTGTAGAGCGAGAGCTGGGGCGGGATCCCCAAGAATGGAAGAAGTATCCCTAGGGATCCAGTCGTACCTTCTGAGAAGGTGGACTGGGCTGGGTGCCAGGAGGGTTCAATTACCGAACCTGAGGAGGTACTTGGATCCCTAGGGTATGGAAACTGACAGCGAATTGGGTTCTGACTGCAAGGGCCAGGCGGCCATGAGATGGGTGTTGCATGGTGCGAGGACAATGCACGGGCGGGTACTGGCACTGTTTGCTTTGGGAGGGACTACAGGACGTGACTATAACAAGCTAGGCTAGGTACAACTATATTGTATATTAGTTAAGAATATAATATACGGAAGTGACATATACTGGAATAGACTCTGATTGTAGAGGAAATGTGTTCTCTAGGAGGCTCTATTCCAGGTTTGTGCTTTGATCAACAAATGAGTTTGTTGGTCCTTGGAAGCACACCCCAGCCCAGCTGCTTCACCTCTCAGCCGATCTGGCCACCTCTACCAGATCTGCCCAATTACCCAAAGTCGAATCCTTGGACTCTCCATAGTATATGGGTCCGGACCCTGGTACTTGGCGCTCTCCCAGGGGTCGGATGTACGCCCGCCGGCGTCAAAAGGGCCCCTGTTCACTCAGCCGGGCCTCTTTTCGTGCAAGGAATTCGTCCGAAAAACCCGGTTCACCCGGTCCCTGCGCAGTGGTCACGGGCCGCGGGCGCCACGCGGGTCGCCGCTCGCTCGGTTCCGAGCGGATGGGCGGGTTGAGTCCATCGAGGCGTGGGCATCACGGTGATCGAGATCCTTTGCGGCTCCCGAAGCGTGGACAAGGTGCGCGAGCCGAGCCGAGCGGAGCTGAAGGTTCGGAGCCGGGATCATCTGGGGTACCTAATTCATGGGATAGTCTGGGTTCTTCAAGCAAAAAGTCAAGTGACCTGAAGAAGGGACCCGGATCATACTGGGGTACCTGATGGGATAGTCGTTTTGATCTGGCTTCTTCCAACTCACTCGGATCGCGATCGGATCGGGTCGGGGCGAACGTTTCGTTCAACACGAACAGGGACCCCCTTTCGAAGAAAGGCGACCAACAAGTGCTCTTGGTCAAGGGCGGGGGTTTTCAAGCTGGAACGTGAGTCAGAGTACTGAGTATACCAGGAGATACCAGGTCGGGGTGGTTTTGAGACCCCTCCAGTGAGCACCCTGATCTTCAATTACCTCGACATGGAACTGCTGGTATACTTTACTTCGAGTGATCCTCACCATGATTTCAATCAAGTTTTCATGCCATGGTGAGGAGCATGTAGCCATGGTCGTGCATTTTGTGGTTTAGATTTGCTTGTTGTGGTTTATTTTAGTGTTGGGGAGTTCGCGTTGGGGTGTTGCCATTGTGTGCCCACTGCGATCTGGCACTTGCGGTTGAGGTCCCGCAGTGCCCACTGCGATCTGGCCCTTGGGATACCTATCAAAAAGAACATTGATTCCTATATCAAAAAAAATTGATTCCTATATCAACAAACATTAATTCGTATCAAAAAGAACCTTCCCTCTACTCCTTTGGTCCTGGTCTGCTGGTTCCCTGGTCGCTTGGTCCTTTGGTCCCTTTGTCCTGGTCTTCGGGTCTTTGGGTCTGTACTTTCGAGGCAAGAGGCGTTCAAGGTGATTTGGAAATCTGGTCATACATCCTGTGAAGCAGTGCAGCAGACCCTTTATCACCAGACGTACCAGACCTTTTCTGTGAGCCAGCCTGACGGTAAAATTTAGACGAATGCCCTTCATTCCAAGGTAGCAAACCATTTCTGAGCCACCTGAGGGCAAAATTTAGAAGAGGAAGGAGCCATTCCAACGTTGCAGACCTTTTTGTTAGCCTTGCGAGGTTAAAATTTAGAGGAAGAAGTTACCATTCCAACGTAGCAGGCCTTTGTTTTGTGAGCAACCCGAGGGTAGAATTTGCTATTCCAACGTAGCAGACCTTTTGTGAGCCATCTACAGAAACCTAGAGGTCTGAAATTCAGAGAGATCATGGTTGAGATGCAGAGAGGTCTACATCTACAAAGATCCAAAGGTCTGGAGATCCAGACGGATCTGCAGGTGTAGAGGTCTAGAAACCCACAGATCTAAAGATGGAGGTTTAGAGGTCTTGAGTCTTGAGATCCAGGCAGGTCTTGAAATCTAAGTTCTAGGGGTCTAGACTTGATGGTGTAGAAAGATGTTCAGATCCAGAGATGTCAAGAGCTCTTTTCACAGGTCTTGAGATCCACAGAAAATTTGCGCACGCCACGCAATCTGCACTTCGAGGTTCGCAATCCTTGCGCCTGCCACGAAGTCTGCGCTTACAGACAGAGGTTCACCCAGCGCCGCGCCTGCCACGCAATCTGCACTTCGAGGTTCACCCACCGCCGTGCCTGCCACGCAATCTGCACTTCGAGGTCCACGAAGCGCTGCGCCTGCCATGAAATCTGCAGTTCCAGTGCACAAAGTGCTGCGCCTGCCATGAGCCCTGCAACTGAAGGTGCTTAAAGTGCTGTGCCTGCCTCGAAATCTGCAGTTCCAGTGCGAAATGCCGCTCCTGCCACGAAACCTGCTACTGGAGGTGCTCAATGTTCAAAGTGCTGCGCCTGCCACGAAATCTGCACTTCCAGTGCACAAGGTGCCGTTCCTGCCACGAAATCTGCTACTGGAGGTGCTCAAAGTGCTGCGCCTGCCACGAAATCTGCACATCCAGATTCACATCGCGCAGCGCTGCCAAGGCGGTTCACAGTGGCAGGCGCAGCTCTTTGTGAAAGGATTTTTGTGTTTGATACCAATTGATTTTCTTTTTGATAGGATATAGAACGTTTTGTTTTTGAGAGAAATATTTACATATATACAAATATCTATCTACTTTTTTTGATAGCCCGGCCCTTGCGGTTGAGGTCCGGTAGTGCCCACTGCGATCAGGAGCTGGCAGTTGAGGTCCGGTAAATACATGCTCACTGCGATCTGGCACTTGTAGTTGAGGTGCGGTAGTGAAGGAGAAGAGGGTGGAGCTGCCATGCTTCACAAGTTCGCCGCGCGGATTCTTTGAGTGATCGGCGAAAGAAAATTTACATCATCATTTTTCAGCTTTTGCTCAAACATGGGGGTAGAGCCCTCGGCATTGGCGACTTCAGGGTGGAAGAGGGTGACTTGGAACCATTGCTTCCGAGCTGGCCGATTCATCCTTTGAGTTGGAACGGATGTTGCCGCGCCAGCTCTTGATGTGACAGCCCCGCTCTTGGAGCTAGTACTGATACTACTACTACTACGACGACGACTACTGCTACTACTGGTAGTAGTAGTAGTAGTAGTAGCACTGAAACTTCCACAAAATGAAATATGTGAAAAAAGAGGCATGTGGTGCCTGTGGTGAGCCTGAATCACAAAACACTGAGTTGTTCTGCATCCACGTTCCTGCCACAGACTATGCCAATTCCGTGTAGCCTTCACATCATCAACAACGCCCTGGGACATGTCACTGAGAAGCTGTACCGTTGGGAAGACTTGTCTTGCGCAGCTCAAGGTGTTTGAGGCACTTTGATGTTGTCAGCTGTTTGTCAGTTTTTGTTTTGGTCTCTACACAAAGCGGTGGGGAGAAGTAGTGCACTTTTGTCTTCAATATTGTCACATTCTACTGACATATGTTGTGATGCCAACCGGTATAGTGCCCGCCCTTGCGGTTGAGGTCCGATCGCACCCACTGCAATCTAGCACTTGCGGTTGAGGTCCGGTGATGCACACTGTGATCTGGCGCTTGAGGTCTGGTAGCGCCCACTGCGATCTGGCACTTGCGGTAGAGATCCGGTCACGCCCACTGCAATCTTGCACTTGCGGTTGCGGTACGTCCGGTAGTGCCCACTGAGATCTGGCACTTGCGGCTGAGGTTGGGAGTGGCGCCACGGCGATCTAGCGCTTGCGGTTGAGGTCCGGCAGTGCCCACTGCAATCTGGCACTTGACAGTTGAGGTCTGGTATATACTGCGATCTGGCACTTGCAGTTGAGGCGCGGTAGTCCTCGGAGAGGAGGAGGGGAGGTCTAACAACCCTCACTTGGCAGTTTTTGCTTGCTGATCGGGGGTGCGAAAGATAAGACACACCACAACGCCACAATTGCTGCTAGCTGGCAGCATTGGGGTGGTGTCTATATATATACCGTCTTGAGTACTGTCTTGCCACGCACCTGAGCCACCTCTGACCATCCAGCTGCTTGGATCCATTCCCTGTTTTCAAGCGTGGACCCAAAAATGGCCGACTGCGGCACGGACTGCAAAAGCGTTGGAGATCAGCTGGCAAGTGGCTCAAGTCAGCAGGTGTCCCAGGTGTCCCAAAGCTTCATTGAGAGTAGAGCGGTGCTCCTTAAATTGTGTGTGTTGAACATTCAAGGCTGTCTTGTTGTAGCCCATGGGCACCTGTGGCCAGGAGTTGAGGTTGAACATCCTCTACATTGAAGTTTAGTTAACCGGTGGGTTTGGCACACATGTGGCCAAACCAACCAACCTGGCAAATGTTCACAAAAGGCCATTCCTGGGTGCAACATCAAAAGGGCGCACCTCCTGGCACTGGCTGCCCCAAAATGCCCGAGACTCCGGCAGCAAGCTGGCAAATGCCACAGGACAAGGTGAACATCAGCAACAGATAGCAACAGGTTCCCAGTAGTGACTTGGCTGTGGGTCATGGTAGTGATGGTGCTAGGTCGCCAATTATTCCCCATTTGTGGAAGAGCGCCATGGTGACGGTTCCTTGTCCTTTGCCACGACTGTAGGACTCACAAGATAGCCCGGCCTGAAAACTGTGCCGTCCCAAAGTCCAAGGCCCTTCAGATGCCAAGGTGACCCAATTCCTTGTTTGCCACATCTGAACTGAGGACTTGACTCGCCATGGATGGTGTAGACTGGCGCCACAAAAGAATGCTCAGGAAAATCAAACGTCAGCCAGCAGCTCCAATAGCCTGAGTGAACTTCACTGATCCTGCTGAATCCTGCTGGAGTTCCGGAACGCTCCTTCAAGAGTCCTGTGTGGAATTGAGCCTCGTGCATGGTTTTGTGTTGTCGCACCTCTGATGAAATCTGCTTTCAAGGCAACCATCAGCAAGCAAAGTTCCCAAAAATTCAGTTCCAAAACAACCACTCGAAGCAGGAACCCAACCAAACCCAGCAACTCTGGACGCATTTTTTGTTTGGTTTCTTTGGACATTGATATGGACATCTGGGAGCTTGGCCACCTTTCACGGCCCAAACGAACTCTTTCGGCCCGGCATCTTTCGGCAGGTCCTGGGAATCGAGGAGAAGGCGGGAGCAGTCCGACGCCGAGTCGAGAGGTTGGTTGGTGCGGAGGTGTGGCAAACGACAGAAGAAACCTCTCCATATATTTGCGTGGTTTACACCGAGGTTGTGGTGTACCTCAAGTTTCAAGAGTGTACCATATCTTCCAGAATATGGCCTCCGAATCTCTGCAAGAATCTGTGTAGCACGGTCTCTTCTCATAGCAGCAAGATGAGCTACAGTCTCAAACGACGTGTCTGGGACTGCCCCAAGTGATCGGCAAGTGAACGGCAGTTTGATAGGAGATTTGAGTTCACACATAAAGTTTAAGCTTTCATGTGCAGTGCTTGGTGGGTATAGGTTTTGCAAGATCGTAGAATCCTGACAATTCTCTACCAAATCATGAGCGCTTTGCAGGTGTATGAAGGTCTTATGACTGACGACTTGAGCTGGTAGCACGCATGATTGTTGAAGTTGAAGAACAATGTCAGACCACTCACAAAAATCAACGCTCCGAATACCAGTGACTCCAATGGAGATGGGGACGCTATTTCACGGAAGTGCTCTAAAATCGTGCAGGATTTCATCAAGAAATGCACACCGGGGCTTCACCCTCCCAATGTGCATTTCTGGTAGATTCCCTGTTCTGATGATGGATGAGACTCAAAAAGAGATTCAGAGCCTTGGAATCCCTTTGGAATCCCCTTGGAATACTTTAGAATCCCTTGGGAATATCCCTTGGATTCTGTTGGTTTTCCACAACTTTTTCCAACTTGACCAGCCGGCCCCCTTCGTCGCCGGACTTCTTTCTTCTCAACGTTTTGGAGTGGTTCAGTTCCACAGATTTGATGTTCTCTTTTTTTTCCTTATTAGGGAATCCGGAATCCGACATAAAAGTATATAAAACACATCACCCTCAACAAGAGGGTATCATGTGCATCCATGTCTTTCTTCTCCTTCTCATTCTGCGGCACCCCAGCGAAGTCCTTCTGCCTTTGTGTCTACGGTGCGAGGTGAAGTCTTTCCCCGATGAGACCTTTCTGGCCAACCTCTTGGAAGGTCAAGTGAGCCGAGACGGAGTGGGTCGGTATTCCAAAATCCTGAGTGGTTGGAGTGGTTGGACATCTGAAAATGTTCAGAAATCCTGACTGGTTGGAGGTGAACATTCGCTTTTCTTGATTCGCAGATGTTCGAAGGGTTGAAAGGTTGCAGATGTGGAGTTTTAAGCAACTGTCGATCTTGGAGCTTTCATGGTTTGGGATGCTCTTGATCCAGTGAAAGAAGATGATGGCAGGTTTCAGTTGTTGGGGCTTCATGCCAATAAGGATGCACACAATGAACAGAGAGATGAAATGAGAAGCTGTTTAAGTTCTGTGGTGTTCTCGCAAATCTTGGCGGGTCATGGGTGATCATGTTTGACTCGTTTGGTTTTCAGCGTCCAGTCCTACGCTCTGGTTCCGAGACCAGACCGAACCTTCTCAAGGCCCGTTGGTATGCGGAAAACAGTCTTCCAGTCTGGTCCATGCCGGTCGTTCCATATGTAAGGAAACCCTTGAAGGAGGGTTCAGTCTAGGCTTTCGGGTCACCTGGGCAGGTCGGGACAGGTCGGGACCGATGTGGCGTGTCCTGTTTCGGGTGATCCGGGCGCTGTGACGGGAGACCGGCGAAACAGGACAGGGGCGGTTCAACCAGTCTAGGTGGATTCCCGATGTGCAGTCTGGGGTGTGGAAAAGAGGTGGGTTTTCAGGATGTGGAAACAGTCTCACGTACGGAGCACCAACTCGCCGTCCGAAGCTGGGTTTGTTGGTTTGTGGAACCCGAAACTCAGTAGCAGCAAGGTTTGACTGAGTCCTTGCAACTTCGGAACTGCGGATAGCTAGATGCACTGAGTATATGATGGAATATAGAATCAACATGTACGTATGATTCCAACCACCATTGATTGGTAGAGTCTTGGCCAAATAAAAAATTGTCATATCAAAGTTTTTTGACGTACAAAGACATGCCAAGCATTGTAGAGCTGGAATCATCGGAGACTTCCTCAGACCCCAAGAGATCAACGGCACAGCTGTGGCCTGAGTGGCCATTTGGTAGTAGGGTATGTAATACGGGGCCTGCGACCCAACGAGATCTCACGCCCAGTCTTCCAAGAGCCGGGCTCCGCCTCGCGCATCCTGCAGCTCGGCGGCCCTCGGTCTTGTATCCGAAGTCTCATACTGGTAAGGAGGTTCATTTCAAATATAGATTCTATGTACGTAGTGTAGGGTCAATTTGTATCCGTTTTCCATTTTCAGGTTGCTTGTTGACTTGAAGTTTGAACTAATGGGTTTGTTCACCTTTTGGGCAGGGTGATGGGTGAAATCACCATCGAAGTGGAACTATGTTTGCATGAGTGAACTGGTGCTTTGTGGAAGAACGATTCTGGATGTTTTGATTTGTACAAACAAGCAGTGTCCTGGTTTGACAAGAGGGTTGGATTGTAGAGTGCAGTATAGTACATATTGCATGTTGCGACCTCTAGGCGTTCCAGCAGGTGGCCGTACTACATTTGTTCTCTGGTGTTTTGACCAGATGGATGTATGATGAAGTATCCAGTTGGCAGAGATTAAGGAAGGAAAGAAGGACCACTATCCCACCTGCAGCTTGTGACGGAGTTCTTTTTGGGAAATCACATTGCCTTCAATTCTTTTGTTGGTTGCCCCCCATGAGGCTGCTCCTTATGTTGTTGCTTAACTGGCGATCATTCGACTCCGAAAGCTGCTCCAATAGGTTGCTCTCATTGACCGACGTGCACCGGTTGCTCCCACTTGCACCGGTCCTTTTCACTTCACTACGAATTCATTCTAAGCCGCGGCACGTGGGCTCCACCCGGGGGTTCTCTCCAAGCGGGGCCGCTCGGTCTACGGTCGGTCCCCAGGTCCATCCAATTCGGTCGACCCTCTCCGGTGTTCTCTTCGACTCCGCGCCCCCTGCCGACCGCCTTAGCCCTGAAGCATCTGAGGCAAAGCAGCTGCTTCCCGGAGTTCCAGGGTTTTCGCCTCACCCTTTCGCCCCTTGAATGAAGGAGAGTACCGTCTAGGTCGGCGAAAGGCGTCCCTATGCGTCCGAGCGAGCTCGGTTTTTGGTCGGCGGCTTGTTGGAGCTCGTGGGAGTTGGAACATGTGGAGGTCACTGAGGTCACTACACTCCCGCTCACCAAGCACCAAAGTGGACCTATAGCCCTGTTAGAGTTTGTTAGATTGGGCCATGTTTTTTGTCGGAGTGTGTTGCTTTGTTTGCTGGTAGAGGGTGGGGTCCAATAAACCAACATGGGTGATATACTTGAATATCCTTTCAACAGAGGACATTTGGGTAGAACGCTTGGAACAGGGAACGCAGAATGAAGCAGATCTGGCAGATGCCTGCGTGAACCTTCCGAGAACGCATCCCCATGGATCCCCCCCAAACCCGTCAAAGAGGATCTGCCGGACGGCCAAGGAGGGCCTTTTGGGGGAAAACCTGGCGACTTGGCAGGGCTTCGTCCTGAGAGGCACCCATAGGCACCCAGGAACCAACTGATTAACGCGGAGGCTGAGACCCTCGAGGGTCAGACGAGCCTTGGGACCTTCCAAACCTCTGAGTGACACCCTCCTGCTAAACGGGTTCAACCCCGTGGGTGGATGAGAATCGTCGACTAAGCAGGGCTCCATGGACAAAACCAGTGGTCCGACTCACATCTCATCGACAGGTATCGACGCAGCCCCTGTGGTATACCTGTGGTATGTCGGTCGCCCATGTGTGGTGAATTGTTTGGGGGGTTCTGTTTTGGGAGTGTGCTCAGTTCGTTTATAGCGATCTATATAATTCCTATAACTGCCCGCGCGCGCGAAGACACAACCTTAAAGAACCAATAAATGAAACAATCCGCGGAGCAAGGCAACACAATATGGCCAACTGTTTGAAGCCATTCAAACAAAATCAATGAACACAACTGAATTTCCAGCCCTCAATTTCCAGCCCATCGTCACCTCTTCCAAGACCTACCTGGTCTTTGACCAAAACCACACTGAGGCCTTGGCTCAACGCACTGCTGGCAGTGGAGCCTGAGGAGCGCCAAACGTGCCATTCGCGGAGCCGTGACGTTCCGTGACGCGCCGTTCGGAGCGTGTCCGAAGCAGGGTCGTTGCGCCCTGTGGCGGAGCAGGGTCGTTTCGCCCCGGCTGAGCAGGAAGATGGTTTCAGGTGTTTCGTCGTCTGCCGAGGGCCCCAACGAGCATCCGGTCGACAAAGATGATGTTCCAAGAGACACGAGACCTGGAGAGGAACTGTTTAGGCCCCAAGAATCCGGCTCCAATTCTGCTGCTATGGGCCATGGGAAGGGTGTTTTTTTACTTTTTTTCCGGACCCCTTGGTTTCGGTGGAGAAGGTCCGACTAGTGCCATGGAGGGCCCAAAGGATTCATAGTATGGGGTTGGGTGTTTCCAGTTCCCTGATTCCGACTTTCCCTTCCCTAGCGCCATTTTTTCCCAGAATCAGTTTTTGGGTTCCCACAATCGGATTTTGGGTTCCCATTCATATGTGAGAAAAAGAGTAATTAAACCCGTGTACTCTACCGAGTAACTTCGTCGTTGGGTCAAGCAATTGTGGCTCATTCCGAAGAAACCACTTCAGGCTGCTCAAATGAACACCTGGATACCGTCCCCCTCCAGGCCGAAACTGTGACAGGCCGAAACGGCTTGGGACTGAACATCTGCTTCGTCACCGAGTGGGGGGAAAGCTTCGCCCGCCCACGAGCAGCTCAGAACGAGCAGCTCAGAAGGACCAACGAGCAGCTCATGGACCTGTCCGAAGATGTCCGAAGAGATCTGCAGAAGAATCCATGAGTGTCCGAAGGACAAGAGTGTCCCACCATGATATCATGACGACATGATGATATCATGACAGCGCACATGACATGCCTTGTTTCATCTTGTTTCTTATAGTTGACAGGTGGTGTGTTTCAGCCAATCCGGGATCCTCATACCCTCTCGGAAGGCAGCTTGGGTGGATGATGATGTCGGGCTTTATCCTAACTTCTCAAATGGGAAGTGGGTGCCTCAGGCAGCAATAGTCAAGTGTCAACTTGTTAACATCTATGATCGTCACCAGGATCATGCAGGCCCAAATGAACCAAGCTACGAGTTACAGGTCCTCTTCACCTTGGTGTCGGTCACAGAGATACTCTCTGAACCGGAAGGGATCTCGGAGATCGTTGCACCGGAACGATCGACGGGGTAGTTCCCCCACCACTTGGTCCTCTTCGGAGCCCCCGACCTCGGGGCCCTTCCGGGGGGTGCTCCGTCCGTCCAGGAGCGGCTGGGAGCCAGTGACTTGGCCTTGGCGGCGGAACAACTCCCCAAAGGCGGCGCGGCGGACCGCCGGACCGCGGGGGGTGGCCGATGGGCGTGGTTTGGATATTTCATGGGGAGACAGATCGGAGGTGGCAGGGGAATCCAAAAAGGCCAAGATCACTTGTACTTTGTTTGGGATCGACATGTGTCTGAAGGGCGCAAAGATGGCCCAGACTTTAACATAGGAAGATCAGGTTCCTTCAGATTGTTCTGCCCGGTTTTGGCTAGCTTTGGGCAGGATATATTCTATACTGTTCATTTGTGTCATTATGTGTCATTCCAAAGTGTGGATCGAGCATGTTTCTGAGGGTCAAAAGATGGAATGTGTCGCATCAACTCCACATATTCTGGCCACCATAGGATGTCTATAGCAGTGTCTATAGCATATGTTGCTTTAGCAGGTCGTGCCACCATTGTCACAGTGAGTGACTTTGCACGCAGAGTTGGATGAATTTTTCAAAACGGCAGAGGTCCCAAGCCAAAGGCAGTGACGGATCCAGGCAAACCATGATGGCAACCGTCGTGGTTCCACTTCGACTGACAAACCGTCGGACGCGGAGAACGAGGTTCTGGCAGTTTCAGGATGTGATGCTCCGCGTGGAAGCTGAAGTAGGGTTCAAGGGCGAAAGATGAACCAGCCCATGCCATCCATGTGTAATTTCCCGATTGCATCTTAAGAGCCAAATGGGTGCTCCACTCCCTGAAATCATGCTTACGTGGAGGTCCTCCCCCCAACTGGCAGACTATTTCCCTCTACCAACTGGTATACGGGGGCAGGGGGTTGTCCACTTCCATGATTTTGGCAGGGACGGTACATACGCTCGGAGCCGCATGATATGGAAGTGGACATTCACATGTTTGGCATGTGGAAAATGGTCCTGCTTTTGGGGCCATGCCATCCACTTCCATGATGATTTCAGGAACTAATCACTTGCAATTAGGGTCGCACAGGATATCAAGTGAGGTAACTTTAACTGTATATATTATATATATGTAACCCTCAAACCCATTTGACACCCTCAATCATTCTTAGTATAAGACAAGCATCGCGCGTTTGAAGGATCAACAAGAAAAAGACGTGTCTATAGGACTTGACTGCCCTGTTGCATATATTGCATCTACATGCATGGTCTGGGCACGGATTGCAGGCCCTCCCACTGCTCCGCCCGTGTCGTCGGGGCACCGAGCGACACCGGAGCGATCCGGCACCGATCCTCAACAGCATCGTTTGCGCATCCATGGTCGGTTGATGTCGGTTGTTTGGTCATGTGGTCGTCCTGGATGTTCTTCATGTTTTCCGATACCAGGCCTGGGCGACATTGATGGGCGACATTGAGATGTTTCTTTACTGTTCTGACTCCTACCTTCTGAACTTTGCGGTGTGGTGTATGTTGCTTGAAACCTGCTGTGCTACTTTGGTCTGTTCCATGTTCGAACCATACCCACGCATGGCTGTTTTCAAGTTGTTTGCAGTTTTATGGCTGCTGACTTGTGTGAAAGACCGGAGACTGACCTTTAGGGCCGAAAGCTATGTACCGGGTCATTTTGGCGGCATTGAGACAATTAGATGGAGAGTAATTACGTAGATGCCACAATCCCCCAAAGGTGCTTTATGTGGACCCCATCTAGACATGTAGGGGTGCAGCCATCTGCGAAACTGCTGTACACCAATGAGAATCTTCTTGGAATTCCTCCCTATAGATCCGCGTACCTCCTCAGGTTCGGTATTTGAACCCTCCTGGCACCCAGCCCATCCCAGCTTCTCAGAAGGTATGACTGGATCCCTAGGGCCTAAGATCGAGTTGTTGTGCCTTTGGCGCTTTTCGTTTTGATTTCGTTCCTCAAGGCCAGCTCCCCTGCCGCCAGGGACCTCGGGACCTCGGATGGGATGGATGGGATGGGGTGCACGTGCGAGACGGGATGGGGTGTCGGACGTGTCGGGAAGGGTCTTCGGACCTGAAAGTAGCAAGGCTCCACAGTCAATTCGACCGCTCCAGGCCCGCTCCAAGCGCTAGCACCATATCCTCAGAAGGTACACTCTGACTGACTAACATGGAAGTGGACAAATCCTTTGTTTGTAAAGGACAGTAGCACCCACACCTCGACCTTCTGAGGATGTAGTTGGAGGCGCAGGGCCTTCACGTCTATGCAGCTTGCCCATTTGTAGACCATTTCGCATGCCAGAGCTATTAAATTGTGCTCATGCTAGAGCTATGTTTGCAGGACATACACATACACTCCCTGAAGTCATCATGGAAGTGGAAAACCATGGGAGAACGAGTCCTGCTTTCGTCTTTCGGATTTCAGGGTCCTGCGATGAGACGCTTTTTCGATGCCGTTTGAGACATCTAGTCGTCACCAGCATGGATGGTTTCAGGGAGTGGTTTCAAGGCTTGAAGTACCTAGACGAAGCCATTTGACCTCTGTGTTGATGTTGATAGGCAGTTTGTCCATAATTGTTCATAAATTTGGTGTGTTTTGGGGGGTTTATCGTCTAAAATAGAGGTCACGTCAGGTTAACGTATACAACATCCCCCCGACGTCCGTCCATGTGTTCTCGGACCTCCGATGATCCGGAAGCGACGGCGCAGCCGGATCAGGCTCCGTGATGAAGATGAACAGGCCGAGCTGTGGCGAGAGACTTCCGTGGTAAGTCTAGGCTTTTTTTGTCATGAAGAAACCCTCGACCATTATGAGAGGTGGGGTCTTACAAAGTTCAGAACGGATCATGTATATTTACAATCCAACTAGGGTCGTTTAATTCATCAACAGTCTGTAAAGACAAAGATATTGGGTGAGGAGGGCCACGCACAGATGCTGCGTACGTACTTCTGAAGGTAGACGGACACCCTTTTTCAGAGACCGTGATTTTTTGTTGGGGGATCGGTGAAATCCCAAGTAGAGGACGCCACTTGGGGCTCCTGGCCGTACTACTAGGAACAAGGTTCGCTACTAGGAAAAGGACACTAGACCACGGGCCCCAACCAATAACCTGTATTTTCCATGTCCGTCCTCAATCACTTTGCTTCTGATCGGAGAAGGTGGATCGGCCTCTTGTTTGGTCTGGCTGAATGCATGAATTCGAGCACAAGGGCGGGGCCCATTTGCTTGAGCATGGTGAGTACCCAGAGGAACTTAATAGGCTAGGGATCTTGGGGATCTTTCGATACTGCTCCCTGCACCGACATCGCAACGGATGTCCGATGCAGATTCACAACTATAGTGAGTAGGCTGGCTAGTCTCTTGGTGATACTTTGGATGCTTCTGGCTGTATTCTGCAATGCGGAGGGACGGCCTCTTCACCGCGTCCACGTCTTCGAACCAACAACTCTCCAGTGCGTCACGCTCGCGCGCGGCTCCAGCGGGTGGATGTTCAGGACGGGGTCGTCCTCGTCGTTCTGGATGTCCAGACCTATAGTGTATATGGACTGCGCTCACCCTAAGCCCTACTCTAAAAAGCCCTATGGAATTGCGATGAGTGCACCATTTTGGGAAAAGACATTTTGGAAACCAACCATATAGTGTCCTCCAAGGATATAGTGTATATAGTGTCCTCCAAGGATGTTCAGACCTATATATAATCGTCGTAGCCCGCCAAGAGGACCGATCTCAAGAATGGGACCGTGACTCTGAACGATGAAACAACCTAGCAACAGAGTTCAACCGGTGGTGTGACCGTGCCACGACATCTCACGCGGTTTTCGGTACGGTTTTCGGTGCGGTCTTGCCAGTCGGTACAATGGCTGGAGGCGCCGTGCCGCTGACGACCGGGTTCGGAGTGTAAGGCAAAGGGTAAAAGGATGTAAAGGGGGATAACAAGTTTTTGTGGTTGATTGTTTCCCACATTCTGGCGTTAGAATATTCATGGAGATCTGGACTTGAGTTGATTCTTTCTTTGGTCACAAGGCCAAACTGAGGTCTCCCTATTCAATAGACCCTTCAATTTCGCTTCAGATCAGGTTCACATACCCTGTCAGCGGAATAACCTTTAACCAGTCATGCCTTCCCCACTGATTTGAGGGATCACTGCTTCCCCTCTGATCGATCGAACGGGTGGAACATACCCTTGTTTTCCATGGACACTGAGGGAAAACTGGCCAAAACCTGCCAAAACCTGCGAAGCTGTACTCACGATTTTCGCGTCACGCCACTGAGGGAGTCAGCACGAATAGGAGCTTGATTTTAGGCGTGTGTCAAACCAAGAAAGCCCTGGCTGTTTGTCACCTTTCCAGTTGAGCCAAAGGTGTAATTCCTCAGCTGTTCACCGTGTTCACCAGTTGAAAAACAGCTTAGGCATGCTTTGGCTGGGTGAGCATCTTCCTTTTTTCCCACATAATTGTGTGGGGTTCCTCTCCTCTCCTCTCTCCTCTCTCCCCCTCTCCTCTCCTCTCTCTTATCCACTATCATCACTCACACTCACCAACTCACACTATCACGTGTAGTGTAATAGAGGCGTGCGGCAGCTTGGCCATTAAAACATATTAAAGCAGATGCTTGGTTCAAGCTCCGGAGGTCCAAGCGGTCTGACTCCTCTCCCACTAGATCAAAAAACATCGGCAATTGGAGACCTGGTCTACTTGCCAACGGGTTCCCTCTCTTTCGATGTGTTTTCACAGAAGACCACTTATAGCGCTGGCTTCGGTGGATAATGGTCCGAACGTGGACATGGATGACCTCAGGGCCTAGGTCGAAGAGCAAAGAGCTGACTGAGGGTGCTGTGGAGGCGATCAAGCTGCCTGAAAGGGATCCCAGAAAGGTTTCTCTGCTCACTGCTCAGGCTGAATTGCTGGGATCGGTCTCTTCGAGCTGCGAAAGTTTCAGAGTTGGTGAGCATGGCGAAAGATGGAGGGAGCTGCAGAATGGAACGCGCACAATGGATACATCATCCAATACATGGAGCATCATGTGAAACAACATTCGAATCATACGCAAAACTTAGAACGTTTTGCTCGGCGGGGTCAGCTGATGGAAGCGATCCTGACAAAGATGGAAACTTTGCGTCGTCGACTTGAAGGTGCGGCCCACGCCAAGACAGTTCACAGGGTCAGAGTTTATTAAATGATTCATGATTGCTTTTGTGCATCGTGCTGAAGTGTGCTGACCATAGAGTCTGTTCGTTCACACACTTTGGCCATTGCATCAATGGCTGCAAGATCACGCAGAAACCACTTTTGAAAGTGGACCATATGGTCAAAATCTCTGGAGCGGAAGTGAGGGAGGCTTAGACAAAAGCTGATGGGCGGTGTCCAGAGGCCGCATTGGTGAGCAATCTGAGTACGGAGCCGGTGAGCTGCTCCGGCAAGAAGGGTTGTCATTGAGGAACGATTGACTTTTGAACTATATCGGCTTCGCTTCAGTGCTGCTTGGTCCCTTGCAGGGCACCATACAGTTGATGCGGGCAAAACTGTAGCCTAATATGTCTTCGAGAAAGCCTCGGCAAGTTTTGAAGTGATCACGCCTGACATCGGGCGCGTGCGCCGCGCGGGGTACCATGCAGGTTTCCGCTTCTTGGGCCACGCGCCTTTGACCCAGCAGCAACATGCCCCATCCACAGGGGTGAGGGAGGAGTCGAATACGGGGCCAGACACTGGGCAACGCTTTTCCCGCGAAAAGCGTCCTGATGGTAATGAATTGAGAACACCTGCAAACTCCACTGGCACGGAGATTTTGATGTTGCTCAGGAAAAAATATTTTGAAGAAATGCTGCGACCTTTTTGGGGTTGCGGCGTGTTTCTAGCGGATTGCGGCATATTCACTCAACTCGCAACGCGCCGGCCCCGCTCCGCTCACGCTCACGTTCATCGGCCTAGACCGGGGTCGGCAGATTTCCTAACCTTTCCTTCTTCCATCCTTTCACTTCTGAGTTCTCTCAAAACTTAATATGTGTGCCGTGTGATGAGTCGGTTCGTGGAGGATGAGACTTACGGGAACCTCACCTCCGAACGTGATGGGCCAGAGGAGCTGGCAGCCCCTTGGAGCCATGATGGAGCCAGACGTGGCCATGGGTGTTTAATTGATGAGAAAACATCACCCTGTTCATTTGGAGCGGGGCGTGGTGTTGCATGCAACTTTGCGTGCAAGTGGCCGTGCTTCTTGCAGAAAGCAGACCCGACAATGTTAAAAGACCAATGGTGTCCACATGTTTGACCTTCGTGTCAGAACAGTAGGATGAGACCTGAGGACCTGTGGAGATCAGTTGCAGCTTGTCCCATCATGAGTTCCAGAATTTCAAAAGTTCAAATGTGTAGGTCACCTTCACTGGACCTCTGCATTTATGCAAAGCATCAGATGGGGCTCGATCATGTGAAAATATGTAGAATATCCACTCCATGAAATGGATGAGGCATGGATGAGGGCTCCATGAACCACCCAAAGTGAGAGGTGCTCTGCGTTCTCAGTTTTTTCCACCCAAAGCTGCAAACAACAAAATCAAAGAGGAAAACACCTGCCAAAACTGGTGATCAACCACTTTAGTCAAGAGCGGTTGTGGAGTCATGGACTCCGGAATTTGGCTGACACCTAGAAAAGCAACAGGCCCCCTCAACAGCGCTTTCAGTGCATTGTTTGACATTCAGTTGCGTTCAAAGTGAGACTCTGCACCACCCAACGCGGAAAGTGCTCACCATGCAGCCGGTTTTTTTCAATGTCGTTTGTGATGACCGACACATCACGTCCTTCATCGCTCCATCCCATGCTGCTCCGCCCGCAAAAAAGGGACGGCCGCCCTATATAGGCGCCTCCACAGCGACTGAGGCGGGGTCACCACCGCTTGTGCGGAACGAGTCAGCCAAGACACAGGGGACCTTCCAAGGTCGGCCGGGACGGCCGGAGGGGCAGCATCGACGGCGGAACAGCTACACCCGGGATGGTTGGTTCTACGACAACCGGGAGACCGGGAGACCTCCAGTCGTGTGCAAAGCAATAGGGTCAATATAGATGGTACCTGGCCCCTGAAATTCCTCCCAGGACATCACTGGTGGAATAACCGGGGAAGGGAGAAGTGAAGCACACTACCGAGTGGGCACAGTGCGGCTGCGAACGAGAAAAGGCAGTTCTTCAAACGCTGTTTGTACTGAGCCAAAACGACAAGTAACAGTTAGCAAACAATTGAATTTGTGTAAGAAGTTTCAAGTGCCTGAACATAATAAATCATATTATCATATATATATATATAATACTCGTACAGTACGTACAATAAAAAATAGGCCTCAAAACATGTGTTAGGAACACCTGACTCCCTCGTTTCTTTCTTGGGAACCCCATCATTTCACCTGCACCTTACTTAGCGCCCTTCTCCAGCCGCCAGCCTGCGCTTGGATCATGTGTGCGATCAGAAGCAGGTCATGGGCTGCCATCTGAAGATTGAGATCCTTCTGCATCGATCGACTGTCTCATCGTCCGCCTGTCATAGCCTCGAGAGGCGAAAAGCCACTGTTGCGGAGGTGATGCCAACCCCCCCGCCCCAACAAAAAACGTGTTTGTCTTTTTGGTTGATCGGGTGATTTTCCCTTTCCCTTTGGGTGAATCCAGAAGGGGATGGTCGGTCCCAAATTCGACCGACGGGCCAAGAATCCAGTGAGTAGATTGAATAAGTTTGGACCCTGGAAGTGCTTGAGAATCAATCCTGCAAGTGTTAGAACTAAGATTGCCTTAGTGCTGCACTGTCCTTGTCATTCTGTTCTCAAGAGGTAGGAAGATACAGAACTCCACCGGGACTTGATGACTTGGGAGAGGAGAACCCCTACCGGGTAGGAACATGCGGGCCCTTGTACACACCTCACATTGACTCAGCTTCTCTTGGAAGAGAAAAACAGTGTTTCGGATCGCGTTCCCTTTGCAGCACTTTTTTCCCTCCCAGATTGCGGGTATAAGGGGTAGGTGTGCAATCATGTGCAAGCCTGTTGACCCAATAGCTCATATATAATGGCCCCATCTACAAGCAGTTACAGTATATAAGACTTTCTCACTTAAGACTGCACATGCTTTCACTGAGTGGTCAGTCAGGGGATCAAGCTGGTGCAGTGAAGAAGAAGCTGAGACATCGGATGTTGACAACTGACAACTTCCAACGTCCTTTGAAATGCTGTGAACACCATTTTGGAGGGTCATGACAGTGTATTGTATCCTATATGTTCATCTCTGTACGAACAATGACGCAGTGATTGCTTACCTGTTCCCACAAAGGAGCAGATCCAGTCTTCTCCTTGTGGCGCGTGGCGCATTTCATCAACTGGGGCCCTTCTCACGTGGCCATGGCAGGCCGTAGGAGTGGCCCCACTGAAAGTACGTGGCTGGCAGCATGGTTCGCTTTGCAGGTTCGGTGTATGTTTCTTTGGTGAGGAATGCAGAAAATCATGAGGGCTAAAAATGCAAAGCTAGCATGAATGCTCTTTTGTTTTGTTTTGCTCTTGGATGGGTCACAGGCAGGGCGTGCGCTTGCAAGCATCAGGACCCACGACATCAAGCTAGTATGTGAGGATAATTTGTAGGGTAGTCTATTGAACAAGACAGATGATACTCTGACTCCCTACATGTTTTGTACAAGAAATAGTCCTCAAAATACAATTTTCCATGTTAGTGTGCCATACTGTGTACTCGGTGTACTCACTTCAATCGCCCAATCACCTTTGGCCGCATATTCATTGGACATGGGCACCGCATGGTAAGTGCAACGCATCAGGACGAACCGCAAAGGATTGCACGCGTCCGCGTCCGACCGCACCACTCCCGGCCAAGCCGGGCCAAGGGCGGCGACCAGGGCGGCGACAAGGGGCGGCAGCCTGCGACGAATCTTTCTGAGTATCTTTGTGGCCTCAGGAATCTCCTCCAACTTTATCTGATTCACTAGCATGCCATGCCTTCCACTTCAATGTGAGTGTAGAGCTCAGATTGTGGTTGATGCTGCCATATGCTACTATAGACTACTGATGACTACTGTATATACCGTATAGTTACTAAGACGACCAGGAAATCCTAAGCCGCCTTTCTGTTACGATGCACTGCGCAGGGCTACTCGATGCACTGCGCAAGGTTCGGGTTGGATTCTTGGGAATTGGTTGGACCAAGTTCAAGATCTTCTTGACCAGACCACCCCCCAAAGCAGACTCGTGCTTAGTAAGGAATCAGGCAGGCTGAAGGGAATGGATCTTAAGGCATCTCTTGTGGGGGTTCATTCCCTACTGACCCTACTGAGCACAAGTCAGAAAGACATCATCAGACAGCTGCAACAGAGGACAGCATCCTTAGCCTCGCCCCAGGTCGGGGGTGCCTGCTGCGTAGCTTTGCCAGCTTACGTCGCATGCATGGAATGGCAAATCTCATCCAATGAGCCCAATGGGGTATGAAGTATGGGACAACTGACTCTATGAAGATCTATGAAGTATGACTATCGTCCGATTGACATGTCTCTTCCTTGTTCCATCTTGTTCCCTAACCTTTAGGAGATTCGATCCTGCCCCGGTCGCGAACCGAACGTCCCGGGGAGCTCCGTCGTCGTGTGTCCTCCGTCGAGGCCCGTCTCGCTTGCGGCCGCAGCCGTAGCGCTCGTGGGTCGATCGGGCTCCGCTGCGGCGTTCCTGCGCGCGCGGGGGGCAGGTGGGGTCGATCTGAGGGGAGGGGAGAGGGGAGGGGTCGCAGGGGATGAGACACTGCAAATGTATATGGTTATTTGGTTAGAGGGCCATGCCATCCACTTCCACGTCATGATTCAGTGTAAAGTGTACATCTATGTAAATCTGATTGATTTTCAGGCAGAAACTTGTATTTGCTGAAAGGGCCCCTGAAGACTTCAGCGCAGAACCAGGTTCAATCAGCCTGGAAGACTAGCATTTTCAACCACTGGTGACGTCAGGTGATGTTTGATCCATGAAAATGAAGACACCACCTTTCTTTTTCTAGCCAAGACCTCCCAATCTGAATGATTTAAACACGGGACGAGAACCTAGCATTATACTTTTTGGAAGGTGATGTTAGTACAGCCCCCTGGACCTAAACCATCCTAAACCAATTCCTTTCCAGCTTGATCCTCGTTTTTGTTAGCCTTTTAACTTACCTTACTTGGATTGGATTGGAACTGTGTGAGGATGGTAGAGGTAAATCGGCACTTCTGAACGTGTAGTGATTTTAGTAAAACCAGAGGCATTACTGCACAAATATGACGCATCCTTCACATCACCATTCAAAAGGTAACTCGTTTATGAGGCTGCAGCGTCCTCCAACTTCCAAACCAGCAAAAAAGGCCATGACATGTGGATGCTGATCCTATCTGATCGTCTCCACACCCATCTCCTTACAACCTTCCACCGTCGGCACGGCGAGCTGTCCGCCATTTTGCCCCACAGCGAGCGCTGTCCTGCCGTGCTGCCGGGCACAGCAGGTCGGCTGTATGGGTGCAGATGACTTGGACGCAGAGACCTTGAAACGCCTCAAGCGTGAGGTGTGGAGCGGGTCATGCGGGAGGTGTGGAGCGGCTCGGAGGGGTTGGGGTGAGAGGTGGGTGGTTTGGCAGAGGGGCGGAGTCACTTGTTTTTGTTTTGTTTTGTTTTTCTGGGATGTTGTGTAGAATAGTGCAGATGAATGATGAAGCCGTTAACGTTAAAGATAATACACAATAAATAGATTTGAATCAACATATATCAAAAGATGCCGAACGCGTATACTGCAAGGAGCCTCAGCACCCACAAGGAGTCACAAGGACATTTTGCCATATACTCACTATACCGACTTTGCTGCTTGAGATTCCCCAGATTTTTATCTTGGGAGACCCATCATATTAAACCAACACCTCTTCACCACCTGCCGCTGGTCGGAGACCGCCCGTTTCCACATCGAGAAGACAGGCGGCGATCCGCTCCAAGGAGCAAGACTTCGAGCGCCGGAAAAAGGCACCGACCACCGTCCGTTCCATCGGTCCACCGTTGGGAACGGTTCGGAAACGCACGGGTTTCCCACGGGACGGGGGTTGGGGAGGTCCGGTGCCACTGAAAAAAGCAGAAACATGTGCCATCTCGGTGGGCAGATCGGTGGAAGCATTATACGTGTATGTGGAAAGGATTCATGATGACGATGACGATGACGATGACGATGACGATGACGATGATGATGATGATGATGATGATGATGATGTATTTGTTTCATGTCCTATGGATCCAGATGGTATCTGGTGAGAGGGTGATGTAGGCGCGATCCAGGTGGTCCAGTCGTGCATGCTCGAAGAGTCCTGCGGATCCTTAGGGCCTAATCTGCTGGGAATCCATGTTCAGACCCTTGATACACTCCGACTCACTAACATGGAAGTGGAAAACCCACTGTTTGTAGAGGAAAGTAGTCTTCCAAGAGACCATTTTCCACTTCCATGTTAGTGAGTCAGAGTGTATCAAGGCAACCCATCTGTTGAAGCTATCTCTTCTCAGAGTCCTAAGCCTTTGTGGTGTTGAACGAGCACCACGAACACGCTGCGCTGCAAGTTTGTGTCAGCAGTGTCCGTTTGCAGCTTCACTATAGGATGCATTTGATGGAGGACCTATTTTCTGTAAGGTTTAGGGTGAGACGGTGTGAGTCTCCACTTGACCCACGCCAAAATTTCCCATGGCCGCTGAGATGGGGCCGACTTACCATCCTCAACCACCCACCCACCTACCCACCCACTCAACCACTAGAGAGGAAGACCCAGTTAAGTTTTGGACACCGTTCACTTTGTCTGCGAACAATTTGTGTCAGGACCACCATGATGAACTAGCACTTAAGGACAAACACGTTACCCTCCCTCCAACAATCGTGGAAGCTGTCCAGGACCCCCTTGTAGAGGAAAATGGTCTTCCACCTCGTGTTGAACTTCCTAGTTCCAGGGAGTGTATGTCACGTCCCAAGTTACCACCGAATGATGAACCGCGGCCCCGAATGGTTGGCCCATGCGGGCCTTGTACACCACTGGTCCGACACCCCGCTGGCGACCTGGTCGACTGTCAGTGGGGTATGTACTTCTCCGAAAGTGCCATCATCCTCGTTCCGAACTGGACACTCCATGGGGGACACTCCACTCGCCTTGGGGACACTCACCTCCAACCTTGGGGACACTCCACTCACCTCCAACCGAAAGGCTTGTGGGAGCCTGCGAACGCGGCAGAGAACTCCCTACCGTGTCCGGTGTCAGGCAGAAGAGCGGAAGAAGCGCGAGCAGCTGCAGGTGCGCGTCTCACTTTCGCTGTGTTGGAGCTGCGTTTAGACCCTCAACGCAGTCTTTCCCTGTTTTTAGCCCATAGCCGAGACCTCTCCGAATTTGCTCTCAGTGCACTTACGCGTTCTCACGTTCCGAGACCTCTTCCCGGTCTGGGCACCCAAACCGGCCTTTGGGGACCTTCATGTGAGCTGTGAGATCGTCATCGCCTCGGCTCTCTGACTCGCCAGGCAACCTGGCCATGTTCCTTTCTCAACCACATTTCACAGCTCACGTTCGACGGGGCGCCGTTCCCGAGTCAACGGAGGAAGTCGGTTGGAAACTCTTGGTGCATCACATCACATGCACTCATTGGATGGGAGGAGCCAAAGCTAAGCCAAGCCACCAAGCCAACTCCATGGTGACTCCCGGTGGCCGCCGGTGGCGTCGTTCTGACCGAAAGAGCCAGGCTCTGCGAGAAGAGCCGGGAGCCGAGACTGAGAGACGACGAACCGTCGACCGACGAGCTGAAGGGCCGACCGAGGTTGAAAAGACGAAAACGAAGTAATTACGAAGCCACCAAACCTGCTTAAGGTGACATGTGTATGCATTTGTATGCATTTGTTCATTCATTGGTCATCCAGTTTTTGTGGTTTTCTCTCGCGAGTATAGGAGCGAGTATACTTAGTAGATCTTAGTAGCACGGTCCCCAATCGAGTTGGTTCCTTTCTCCGGGATCGAATTTCACCGCAGGACCGGAATCATGTCTCGACGACGGGACATCCGAAATTGCCCGACACCAGGCGGACCAGGTGGATGACCCAACCCCGTTTTCAGAGAGCAGAGGGTTTTGAAAGAGCAGAGGGTTTTTGCGTATCCGGACTCCGGACGTTTCTCTAAGGTCCTGTACTGAAAGGAGGTGAGAAAGAACGTGAAAGAACATTGCCAG